GACAATACTAGGCCTCTTTGAGGAAAGTTTAGGAAATAGTTAAACAAACATATTAACATACATAAAATCAGTACTCATTGTATTAATAGTATTTGTATTTATTTTGAAAGTAGTGTTTTTCTGAACAAATATTACTTGGTGCCCAAATAATTTGCTTTTCGATTCTAATTTTCTCAGATGCCTAAAACGTTTTTGCTGCACTTTGGTAAGCAGTACTGAGTAGTTCATGCCTTATGGAGTTCTTGATGCTGATGATGGCTACGTTAGAGAGCTGTGCATTTTGCCAGAAACCACAAAATGGTTCGTTGTCTGAAAGGGGATGCAACCGGCCCAGAAACTGACTGACTACAGCAGAGCTAACAAAAGTGGTTTGAGGTTTAATCTTCAAATATACATAAGACATTTGGAATGAAATGAATAAATGATTATAAAACTGAAAGATTGTTATGAAGAACATGTTATATAAAGGTCTTTAAAGTTGTCAGCTGTTGGTTGAACCCACCATCCTCCTGGATTTTTTTTTTACAGCTCGACCACTGTGTATGTCTTTCTCTTAGTACTTTAAAAGGAGTTGAGTCTGGCCTTTTCTTGTAAAAGAAGCCACCGAGACCAAAGTCCTCATCCTCATACTGCAAACAAAAACTGAATATGTGATCTGCTCTTGTAAAGGAGGGATTTCTCAAGCTGAGGATTCCCTCTGAGACAGTGATATTAGAAAATGGATATTTCTTATATATGCACACCTACTACTGCATAAAAACAGTTTAATTCTGTATTAATGTGCCAACTCACTAAAGCTATTGTGTTGTGAATGGACTGGTTTACAGCTCACATGGACTACTGAGTGTATTGATAGATGAAACAAGAACCTGGTTTTGAATAAACTGAGGGTTAACTTTATTTTCTTAACAACTAGACTGAATGATAGCAGGCTAAATAGGTTTAAAGGTAAACCTGTCCTCCCTTAAACAAACATATGGTACAGTTAGCTTGATGTTAACACTACATAGGAAATAGCATATAGGTGCCAGTGGAAATTAGCATATTGTCATGGCCAGATCTACAAAATGGATGACATGGGTGACTGACCAGGGGCACCCAATTCCCAGGGACTCCAAATGTTTGCTCCAGAATGCATGTTTTAAATGATTGTAATGATCTAAAATTTTTTAGTTTTGGAACATCAGTTTACTTTAAATCTGTAATTTATTCACACAGCACAAAAGTCAGTCTAATAATCCAGCCTTAAATATCCAAAAAGCAGTATGTAAATTTGGTAGACAGTGACCTCTATGTGGGATTTGTTTCATTTTGACATCTTATTTGACATGCACTGTGACATTAATGAGCTTCGAAAGCAAGCTGAGGCCTTCTCATTGGCATACCCAACCAATCTTAACAAGCCCTAAGCTTAATTAAAACTAGCTGAACTTCAGCAAAACTATCCTGATACCTTTTTCAGCAAAATGATTAATTATCAATTATTATTAAAAAGTGGGGTTTGTGGGGATAGGGCACTGTAGCTTTATGGCCCAGGGGCACCTACTTATATTGCATATGTTTCTGCCTTATACTTCTATATCATGATATTTCCATGGCTTTGTGACTTAAAAAAAAAGTTCAGGAATATGCACTACTGCAGTATACGATGATGGGTGACTGGCCTCTTCAGTTCTTGTCCTCTCTCAGTGGTCCATGGTTGCTGGGCAACATAAGCATTCTCTACTCAACAAAAGCAATGCTCTATTATTTTTTTTTAAATGTAATCATTTTATCATATTTTATGGTGCCACTGTTTTAGAAAAGCAATAAATCACTTCAAACCTTGCGTTAGAGTTTTATTTAGTGTCTGTTTGAGACTAGATCGCCCCAAAGTTGTGCAGACACTGATCTTAACAACTTGCTCCTTCATGTCCATGTTGTCTGCGGTGTTGTAAGTTGCGGTGCCCACGCTGATTGGGACGTCATGTTCTGTGGGGCCCACGGTAATTGTGACAGTGTGGGCTTGTCTCCATGGTAACCTACTTACTAATCCAGCCTTGGGTAATGCTCCAAGGAAACAGAGGTCACATGGCGCACTGGTGGTCAATTCAAGCGCAGATGGGCACTCTGAAAAAGACTCCATTCGTCCAGGAGGGAGAGATAGATGGTTACTTGAGGGTTGGAGCTGAAAACCTCTGACCTTTGTTCGTCAATGCAGCTCAATAACTGCCTTGCCTTGGAGCTGTCCCCTTTCGGCTTACTTTATCAATGCTAGAGCTACTCTAGCATCTACATTCATGATCTCCTTGATCTTGGCAAGCCCTTGAAGTGGCACTTCACACTGACATAAGGTTTATCAATATTCATTGTCTTATGACAAGGCCATGGTGGCTGCTTAGAGCTTTCTGCTGCTGTACTCTGAGCTGAAGACAAAAGCAAGGCTTGGCTTTACTTTAACCCTGTGATTTTTCTTTCTGCATGCCCTTAAGTCATATCCTCATTCTTCTAGTATGGGGGGATGGGGGGCTGTAAGAGGAAAGGGATGAAGTATCATGAAAGAATAATGAGGAGAGGAGAGAAGAGGGAGTTTTAGTGTGGGAGTGTGTTGCTTAGCCAACTGCTTTAATGATGATACTTTACTGTTATCATACTATACGTCTGTTGAGTCCATTGAGATGGATCTGTCCATTTTCTGACTTGGTGTTTAATAGGAGTGATGATCTGGAAAGAAGAATGTTGAACCAACCAGAGAATTCACAGTGGGTGTACAGAGCAACCCCTTCCTTTATCTATCCTTTCCTGCCTTACTTTCCTTCTTCATTTTGGTGACCTTTTTTTGTTTTTTTTTTGTTTTTTTACAAATTTATTTCAGGCTACATTTAAGAAGTATTAACCATTTACCAAACTAGGAGAGTACATTGCTGGTAAAGTGGTAGTTTGGCAAAAAATCAAATTTTCCCCTTACCTCAGCTGTAGTCAATCAGCCAAGCAATGTTTACAGGGGTTTTATTCATTAGTTTTGCAAAAGAGGTACAAGGCTAATGTAGCTAAAAACTGTAGTACTGTGGCAGAGGTTAAATTGGGATTTTGGACGCAGGAGAGCTCTATTTATCCACGGATGTCAACAATGTGGAAACAGTTATGTTCAGCTGATGTATATAAGGAGTTCTCTGCACTGATATCGTGAAAATGTGATAACACTAATAGCTTAAATAAATTTCTTTAGTGTTTCATGTTTGTCTGTTTTAGCATCCAAACTATATTAAAGGGGAATTTCCAGAAAATGGTTAATTGTAGTGCAACGTAAAGGCACACATTTCTTCACAGTGGTGGTGATGGGATCCGGGGGGACAAGATATCTACAACTCAAGCTGTTTTATTTACTGCTGAAAATGTCCAATGAACCTACACGTCTTCTGAGTATTTGTACTTAATGTCCATAGTGGTAAAATAAGGTTGAATCTGGACAAAAAAAGGTTTTCTTTGGGTACCAAATTTGCCTCCCAACGACTTGCATGTACCTCGCCACAAATGTGTTTTGATAACTACATTTTACGACAAAACTTGGTCAAAACTATCGTAAAACAATGTCTCTGGCTTCAGCATGTCTGTAACTATTTCTGTGAGGGTGCTTTTAGAGGGATTAAACTCTTCAATGTCTGTTTCCTTTCACCACCTCCATGAACACTCATGACTTGGAAAGTTTCTCTACAACTGACCATTTCACATCAAACCACTCTGAATGACTTGAATGATTTTTTTTAATCTTTTCTGACAACGAAAGTCACAGTAAAACCATTAAACTAGCAAAGGAACTGCGGCAAACAACTGTTTGCCTGGAGCAGCTGCCTCCTGTTATCTACTTTTTTAAATAGACTGCTGGTAGACACAGTGCCAGAAAAACTTGTCAAATAGTTTAACTCTGTGTAACAATTCACTGCCAGATGCTCAAAACCATCAAATCAGATTTGGAAACATGCTTCATAAACTACTGAAAGCGCCAGCCTTCGTGCCTAACATAACAAACCAATTTAACTCTATCGAATTGGTGGAGCTGCCGATATTAATCTACAATATTAGATAGATAGCTAGGTGCAAGTGTATGCCTTTTCAGTACATTTTAGCAACAGCCAGTTGGCAAAACAGTAGATTGAACATTAAGGCTGAAAAAAGACCTACTGTATGAATGCTTGAATTAACTTCTTCAGTCATGGCAGTTATGTTATGCAAACTAGTTAGACACCTAAAGCACCAGATTTATTTCAGATTTAACAGGATAAACATCAGTAAATAATCTAGGCTACTTTAAGGTTGAGGCATAAAAAAATCTAGATAAAACATCATGAAGCAGCAGAAGGGAAACCATATTTACATGATTGTGAAAATCAGCAAAACGATAAAAGTAGGACGTGCCACTTAAACATGCATCAGCAAAAAAAATAATCAATTGGAAGGAGTGGTGTGCAAGAAATGTGACTCTTAGAGGTTATCTCTCAGCATGGTCTATGACATTAAATGCTTACATGGATTTCACAAACATTGGAAATGATTTACATTTCAATCAGATTACAGTACCTGAGCTCAGCTGTTTGCTGTCCACACAAACCAAAAGTGCTGGAGCTCTGCTTTGGTGTGCCCTGGCCTAATTTAAACCCTGAGCACCAGCCATCTTGAAAACTGAATTTGTCTCTACTTTTGTCAGCTTTTAGCAATGAAAGTATGTGATGCTGCATCAGAACCTGCATAAGCAAATCTACTGGAGTTTACCTAATAATTTGACATGGCAAGTGTGTGATAGTTTAGGCTTGCAGTTTGCACCACAGTTGGTGATGTATAAGCTTCCATTATTTGTTAGCTGGATTAGCTTCATAGCTCTTTCGCAAAAGTAAAAAAACAATGCTTTAATGTAGTCACACTTAGCAACTCGGAAATCTATCTTAGTTATTATTAACCAATATTTCATGTAACATGATACAAGTTGAAGATACTTAACACTTTCCATTTGTGCCCTAACACAGGAGAACATAAACGTTGACGAGGCAGCCCGGTTCCTCGTGGAGAACATCCTCCTCAATGACAAAGGCCTTCCATATGAGGAGAGCAATGGTGACCGCATCAAGCTGGACCAAGAGGCCGTACCTGCGGAGAGCAAGTCAGGCTGCTGCTAGCGTCAGGCCTCTTCGGTCCACTTACCTGTCGTACAGGAGGGAATATCAGCCAGGGACTAAGACCCCTGTCTCTTTTCCCCAACATCAGCCTCCCTCCATCCCTCTCACCTCACCTCCACCCGCCCAGACACCAATGGCACAAGCACATGTCTTGGCCTATCAGTATCGGCTCTCCAGGTGGAAATCATAGCCATGAAGATGATGCCTTGTGTGTTGACCTCTCCATTTCTCTCATTCTCTTTCTTCATGCCTTTCTCCAACTCTGAAGAACCATGTAAGAACTGTATATTTGTAGCAAAGCCTCTAAAAGTGTCAGTCCAGTGAATTTTGTTTTGTTTTGCATTTTTGTTACATTACTGGGAAAAAATGCGATCCTATGGGTGTCATAGGAGGGTGTACCAAGTACATCTTTCTGTTATATGGAAGTTAAGCTGGCATGACTAATGGGTATGCTGCAAAGAACGAACAGTCAATTGTACACAATGGTCAAAAAGTCAGGAAGTAATAGGGCTGTCCCTGTGGGGGTTAGCCAGCAACATTTTTAATTTGAAGGTAAAAACAAAAAGTTCTCATGTAGTTAAAAGTGGAATTCAACTATAAGGATGGGGAAAGGCTTGTTGAAGATTTCTCTTCCTCTCTCAAAAAAACACTGTAGAAAAATAAACTTTTTATTTAAAAGTTTGGTATTTTGTTCAATTATCTGTATTTCCTTTTCTTACTTTTTCTTTTTGTCTTTTTGCAATCTATCAGTTGCCTCCCAGAGTTCATGCATAAGAAACTTATCACACAGAACATTATCCAGAATGTCAAAAATACGTAAGAAAACAAAATACTATCCTCTTGTGGGAGGTCTGTCAGAGGCATATGTGTAAGCACTAACTGGAAATGTGTCTCATGGAGAATATAGCTGCCTCAGACTCTGTAACCTGTTATATACACGGGCTGACTTTTTGATGATGGTGATGACAGGTTTTTGAAATGGTACTGAATAAGGTGTTTGAGCACCAGTCTTATCTATGCCTTATTCTAGGGGGAACCACAGGCAAATGTAACTTTTTTTAAAAAAATGCTGGATTCAACCTTTGTTAAGATAACACTGAAGGAAAATAAAAACTTTTAAATAAAAGTTTGATTTTGGTCAGTCATTATTATGAGTGTTTGAATTTATAAAACTCCTCATGTGAATTAATCTGTAATTCATTTGAGATGGTGTGCACCAACAATGGTACCCATTCAACTTTCAACTTTTGTCATGAGGGGGGCTCACAAACCAGTGAGCATGTGCTGTTGCTTACACAGGTCACCTGACCAGTTTCCATCTTTGAAACTGGAGACTTTGTGCCAGTCATATGATTTCCACACCATACATTGGTCTGTATGCACAATTTCTGGGATCTAAATGCTTGAATCTGTTTGCCCTGCAATGAACCAACAATCGTCTCATTCTCAACAAATGATTCCATAAATGAGACAGAGCTCATGGGAGTTTCAGTGCCAGCTTTCCTTTTAAAGTATTTCACTCAGATCAGGTGTATGTCTCTCTCTCTTCTCTCTCTCTCTCTCTCTCTCTATATATATATATATATATATATATATATATTGCCAGAAGTATTTGCTCGCCTGCCTTCACATGCATATGAACTTGAGTGACATCCCATTCTTAATCCATAGGGTTTAATATGATGTCGGCCCACCCTTTGCAGCTATAACAGCCTCAACTCTTCTGGGAAGGCTTTCCTCAAGGTTTAGGAGTGTGTTTATGGGAATTTTTGACCATTCTTCCAGAAGCACATTTGTGAGGTCAGACACTGATGTTGGATGAGAAGGCCTGACTCGCAGTCTCCGCTCTAATTCATCCCAAAGGTGTTCTGTCGGGTTGAGGCCAGGACTGTGCAGACCAGTCAAGTTCTTGCACACCAAACTCGCTCATCATGTCTTTATGGACCTTGCTTTGTGCACTGGTGCGCAGTCATGTTGGAACAGGAAGGGAAACAGGAATCCCTAAACTGTTCCCATAAAGTTGGGAGCATGAAATTGTCCAAAATCTCTTGGTCTGCCGAAGCATTAAGAGTTCCTTTCACTGGAACTAAGGGGCCGAGCCCAACTCCTGAAAAACAACCCCACACCATAATCCCCCCTCCACCAAACTTTACACTTGGCACAATGCAGTCAGACAAGTACCGTTCTCCTGGCAACCGCCAAACCCAGACTTGTCCATCGGATTGCCAGACGGAGAAGCGTGATTCGTCACTCCAGAGAACACGTCTCCACTGCTCTAGAGTCCAGTGGCGCCTTAGCATCCGCTGACGCCGCTCTGTCATTTTACGTGGCCTACCACTTTGTGGCTGAGCTGCTGTCGTTCCCAATCACTTCCACTTTGTTATAATACCACTGACAGTTGACTGTGAAATATTTAGTAGTGAGGAAATTTCACGACTGGACTTGTTGCACAGGTGGCATCCTATCACGGTACCATGCTGGAATTCACTGAGCTCCTGAGAGCGACCCATTCTTTCACTAATGTTTGTAGAAGCAGTCTGCATGCCTAGGTGCTTGGTTTTATACACCTCTGGCCATGGAAGTGATTGGAATACCCGAATTCAATGATTTGGATGGGTGAGTGAATACTTTTGGCAATATAGTATATATATACACTGCTCAAAAAAATAAAGGGAACACTCAAATAACACATCCTAGATCTGAATGAATGAAATATTCTCATTGAATACTTTGTTCTGTACAAAGTTGAATGTGCTGACAACAAAATCACACAAAAATCATCAATGGAAATCAAATTTATTAACCAATGGAGGCCTGGATTTGGAGTCACACACAAAATTAAAGTGGAAAAACACACTACAGGCTGATCCAACTTTGATGTAATGTCCTTAAAACAAGTCAAAATGAGGCTCAGTATTGTGTGTGGCCTCCACGTGCCTGTATGACCTCCCTACAATGCCTGAGCATGCTCCTGATGAGGTGGCGGAAGGTCTCCTGAGGGATCTCTTTCCAGACCTGGACTAAAGCATCCGCCAACTCCTGGACAGTCTGTGGTGCAACGTGACGTTGGTGGATGGAGCGAGACATGATGTCCCAGATGTGCTCAATCTGATTCAGGTCTGGGGAACGGGCGGGCCAGTCCATAGCTTCAATGCCTTCATCTTGCAGGAACTGCTGACACACTCCAGCCACATCAGGTCTAGCATTGTCCTGCATTAGGAGGAACCCAGGGCCAACCGCACCAGCATATGGTCTCACAAGGGGTCTGAGGATCTCATCTCGGTACCTAATGGCAGTCAGGCAACCTCTGGCGAGCATATGGAGGGCTGTGCGGCCCTCCAAAGAAATGCCACCCCACACCATTACTGACCCACTGCCAAACCGGTCATGCTGAAGGATGTTGCAGGCAGCAGATCGCTCTCCACGGCGTCTCCAGACTCTGTCACGTCTGTCACATGTGCTCAGTGTGAACCTGCTTTCATCTGTGAAGAGCACAGGGCGCCAGTGGCGAATTTGCCAATCCTGGTGTTCTCTGGCAAATGCCAAGCGTCCTGCACGGTGTTGGGCTGTGAGCACAACCCCCATCTGTGGACGTCGGGCCCTCATACCATCCTCATGGAGTCGGTTTCTAACCGTTTGTGCAGACACATGCACATTTGTGGCCTGCTGGAGATCATTTTGCAGGGCTCTGGCAGTGCTCCTCCTGTTCCTCCTTGCACAAAGGCGGAGGTAGCGGTCCTGCTGCTGGGTTGTTGCCCTCCTACGGCCTCCTCCACGTCTCCTGGTGTACTGGCCTGTCTCCTGGTAGCGCCTCCAGGCTCTGAACACTACGCTGACAGACACAGCAAACCTTCTTGCCACAGCTCGCATTGATGTGCCATCCTGGATGAGCTGCACTACCTGAGCCACTTGTGTGGGTTGTAGAGTCCGTCTCATGCTACCACGAGTGTGAAAGCACCACCAACATTCAAAAGTGACCAAAACATCAGCCAGAAAGCACAGGTACTGAGAATTGGTCTGTGGTCCCCACCTGCAGAACCACTCCTTTATTGAGTGTGTCTTGCTAATCGCCAATGATTTCCACCTGTTGTCTATTCCATTTGCACAACAGCATGTGAAATTGATTGTCAATCAGTGTTGCTTCCTAAGTGGACAGTTTGATTTCACAGAAGTTTGATTTACTTGGAGTTATATTGTGTTGTTTAAGTGTTCCCTTTATTTTTTTGAGCAGTGTATATATATACACTCACACACACACGCACACACGCAGACACAGACTGTGTGTTGTGCTGGTACAAGTGGGTCAGACATAGCAGTGCTGCTGGAGTTTTCAAACAAAGAATAGTGCACCAACCGAATATATATATATATATATATATATATATATATATATATATATATATATATATATATATTCACACACACACACATATCCTTTTACACATGCAACAATACATTTATCTGTATTGTTCCTCCTGAGGTGAGAACATCCTTACTCTCCCCTGACCCCAGACCCCCTTCACCTTCTTCCTCTACTTCCCCTCCCCCTTTCCTCTCCCGAGCCCCAGTATCTCTACCTAAACCATGTCAAACCATGTATTCATGAGACTGGTGACAGACTGATGACCAAACTGGCCGAGCATGATCCTATATTTTTTTTTTCTTACGATGATCGATTATTTCTACACTTCTAGCACACGAATATGCTTTTTGTGTTGACATCACAAGCTGGAAACCCACAGAGCACGACAGGCGGTCCCACGTGGCGTCGTCGCTTAGCAACATTTCAAACTTTCCTCAGTCATTGCTAGCAAAACAAGTCAGACTTAGTCATTGTTTATCATTCTTGCTGAATAAAGTTAACGTTATCTTTCGCAGCGAGCGATAACTGAATGGAAAAGGAATAGCTCATGAAACAATGTCGAAGCAGCCAGCAAAGAAAAAGGAGTCTTCATCCAGTCGCGTCCCTTCATCGCAAGGACAGTCGCCCACTAAAGAGTAAGAACCATTATGCTTGATAGCTGGCAAACGAATGACATACAGTCACTTGCTGACTTGCTACGTAGTTAGCTAGCTAAGCTAGCTAAGTAGCTAACCACGAGATGTAAAAACATAAAGTTATCTCGCTAGACTAAGGACTAATTTAGCCAACAAAAAATACTCATTATTATCTCTGTATTTAATGTGCAATAGCGAATGACAACTCATTTCCTTAAATTAACTAACCTTTACCTCACGGGTGAACATCACCATATTGGCGTGGGCGGCATGGCGAAAATATAACATCACAATACAATACGACAGGCATTTTCACGATACTCGATATCCGTCATGATATTACAATTATTTTTATTTATCATTTCACACATTGCATTGCACTGAATCCCATTAAACAGGTCTAACTGGCCTAATTCTGGTCTCTTTGTAACGAAACCTGCATTTGGTCAGTGCTTTTTAGATACTGATATACATGATATTCTCAAGCATATTGTGACAAAATTTATTACAAAAATGATAGAAATTGTCTTATTGCCCACCCCATACAATATAATTATTAGCGAAGACACGAAGAAACATTTTAGTGACAGAAAATGTAATACGCACGCTCTAGGGTCTCCTCATTAGTGGTCAGTGCATCAGAGGGCCCAGGGGAGCTGAAGAGGAGCCGCTTCCCTATCTGGCCTGAATGGAATGAGGCTGAGGTCAGTGCAGAGAAATGGGACGCAGCCAAAGGGGCAAAGGATGGAAAAGCCGGGAAGAGTCCACTCAGTGTAAGTGCCCGTGCACAGCCAGTGAAAAATTTTTTTTTGCCTCAGCATTGTATGGTTATCTGTGAAAGAGGCTTGTCTACGCATGGGAAACAGAGAATGTAACATCTTTGTTTGTTCCTTGTAATATTATTGCACTGAAATGCTTTATATTACCACTTGTTTTAGCAATTCTTTGAGGACCCAGAGGGGAAGGTTGAGCTCCCAGCATCTTTAAAAGTTCACACCTGGAAACGCCCTTCAGAGCACATAGTAAACAAGGTAAGGATGTGTGAGTCGGAAGAGTGGTTGGTATGTTTCAGCGTCCTTCCAACTTTGTTGTGCTCCATTTCCTCTGATTACAAGACAGTTTAGTGTTCTCTCTGCCACAAAACAACCCTTCAAGTGAGTTCGAGCAGGGAAAACAACAACTGTGCAATATTGCAGAGAGTCTCATTTTTGCATTTGTTTTCATGCCCACGTCCAAGGGTGTAGCCTGGAGAATATGTCGTCTCACAGAGAATGTCAAAAAACATGTCTTCAGTCAGCTGTGCAGTCTGTTGGCTCTGTTTTCTTAATCACATGTATTTAGTGGAAGCACAGTCCTTGGCTCTGTTTCTCTGCCTAATTGAAGAAATCTGCTTTTTTTCTACTGGTCTCACATGAGCCAGTGTTGTAATTAAATTTCCTCGTTCTCAGCAGAAGCAGCGCACAATTACACCCGCTTGCCTTGTGGTTCGTAGCTATCAGTGCAGGTCATGGACCGAAGCCACAGAACAAGAGATCTGCCGCAGCCATGGACGCTCTCAAGCTCAGCTGGTGCGGTGAAGCCAATCAGCTTGCCGTTTGCTCGGCTGCGTGCAAGAGGTCTAATTGACGGAATGAACTAGGGTCAGCCCCTTGGTTTCATTTCCATGCCGACAGTGGGCCAGGGTGACAGAAGGAAGTCTTCCCCCTCTGACTGTGCGGGCATTTCCAAAGAGTCTAATTCAGATTTGATTAGGGAGCCTTTAAAGTCCATTAACGCTTCATAATCAAGCATTCATAGAGCCTTGTCCTCCACAGAGCGCGGACTGCAGCGGGTCAGCATGATCAGTGAGAGTGATGAAAATAGACTTTTTGAGGGTGAGAGGCACAGAGAGAGGAGGAAACGTAGAGAGAGGGAGGGAGTACTTAATGAATAAATGCATTTTAAACAGGAGCCTAAAGTCTCCATGGCCTGGTCTGGGAAGTCTTCATTCATAATAGAGTTGATCTGCAGCTCTGAGAGACCACCTTTTGGCACAAAATTAATGATGGTTCAGTGAGATTAGATGTATCAGTTATGATCGTTCCCAAATGAATACACTGAGCTGGTGATGATTTTTGTAACTTGATATTAAAATGTTGTCATTTTATTCACGTTGTGTCAGGCTCCTGTGGTGGTGGAGAATGAATCAACCTTTGATCTCACTTCAGCTAATGAGCATTTACTCTCAAGTGAGGTAAGTCACAAAACACTTGCTTCTAGCATTGATTTCACAGACATTTCCATTGCCACGTCTGCTGCATTGTCGGTATCACAGATTGACCTAGAAGATGACAGACTGAACTGTTTGGATCTACTCAACTTGTTCACCTCAACCAGTTCAGTGCGCAGGTGGAGTCCTGGTAGTGCCGTTTAGGGTTCCATCAGAATACAATTGATTGTGCTCTCATCACATAGTATGAAGGACAGCAGAGTTTTTCTCTTCCTGTCAATATAAATGATTTACCCACCAGTCTGGGTGCCTGCTAGACAAAACAGAGTTGGGCAGTAAGACAAATATTTGCTTGAACATATAAACAGAGCTGGGCAGCAAGACAAAAACAATGCTAAGTGCACTGTGAATTGGTGCAGTTCTATAAGGCTTTGATGGACTTTGCCTTTTTTCACTGCTGCTCACATCTCATTCCCTAAGCTCATGCGCTGGATCATCAGTGAGATCTACATTGTGTGGAAAGTCTGCAATGGAGCAGTGGGAATGGCGAGTGAGGCTCCTAATCCCTGGAGGCCATGGGAACACATCTATTCCCTATGTAAAGTGACGAAGGACCACGTGCCCCAATACAATATCTATGGGAAGTACGTGGTTAGACTCTACTGGATGGTGAGTTGTCTGCGCCAGTATTTTCTGTTTATTTCAATATAAAAATATGTCAAAAAACATGGCCAAAATTAGAGGTAGCGCGGTATCTCTTTTTCTTTTCTGATGCCAATATTGAAACTTTCAGTACTGGCCAATACTTACAGGATTGGATTGGATTCATTCTTTTTTTTTCCCCACTGATATTTGATCCAGCATTTTCAATATCTAAGAATACCATCACTTCCAGCCAGAATCTAAGGGATAGCTTTTCTTTATATAAAACAAGACTGTATGCACAGCAGTAACATTCCATTTTCAGTTTAAATCATAATAAAATATCTCCTCTTTTACCTACAAACAGAGATATCTCCATAAATTTTAACATAATTTCTCTGCTTGTTTCCATGCATTTTGAATTTGAAATTATTACCATAAAATTGCAATATGCTTTTGTTATTATTGCCTATTTCTGCAACCTCTAAGGATTAACACTTGCTACTTTTTTAATGAAAGTCGGTCAGTTTGGGTTAAAGCCAGTGCAGCAGTTCCACCTGTGAGAGACTGTAACAGTAAGCACTTACGGGGAAATTCTGACTCATTCAAACCTCTTACAGTGCTGACCCAAAAAATACGCTGTGGCGCCCTTATTAGAGGAAGCCCACACTGACCTCAGTGTGTTGCTGAGGCTGGCTGGCAGGCAGTGAAGCGTGATTAAGAGGTGAACCCCTCCACACCTACTGCCGCGTACATCCTGCAGGCAGTGATTAAGTGAGAACACGGCTCTTATCAGACAGCCGGGCGTAGTGTGTTTGGGTGTGTGTGTGTGTGTGTGTGTGTGTGTGTGTGTGTGTTACGTATACCAGTGAGTTTCTTCCACAGAGAGAGTGCCTCTCTATAAATCACCATGGGCCTTGGTTGCTCTCTGAACTGACATGCTTTGTCGGAGTACATGTAGCCTCTTGTTATAGATCAGCTCTTGCTAATAATCATAACCATATGATCATATTTGAAATTTATGTTTGGAGAGAAAATTCACATTATAATGTGAAAATAACTTTGTGTATTTTGCCCAGAAGTTAGTGCTTCAGTCAGGCCTGAAATTTTGGTATGAACCTGAATACAACCTGAAAATTTTCTGACCAAGTCCAAACCCAATCCAAGCTTGACAACGTTCTGTTTGAGCCCCCCCCCCAATTCACATCATTCAAAGTTCTGATTCTGCAACTGACCCGAGTACAACAGAATTTGTTCCAAAACTGGCCCATCATCATCCAAAATGCTGAATGAAACCTGACAGAATAACTCTTGATACCATGCACTGACAACAATAGCCATTAGATCATGGACACACACATTTTGTGAAACTGCTTATCCTTCTGGGTTGCGGGGGGGTGCTGGAGCCTATCCCAGCGATCATTGGGCAGAGGGGTAGATCATGGACAAATAAAATGACAATTAAGGATTCAGACCTTAGATATTTGCAAGGATTTTGTAATCATCTTGTCAAACCCAAGACATTAATTGAGATATTGATAAGCCAAATATATACAAAATCTTAATTTATAGGGTACTTTCTACTGGGAGGTGGCAGTCCCAAACCCTAACCCCGAAGTTTCAACATGTGAAAATAATAATGACGTTTCTTTACCTTTTTTTAAGATCTTTTTGATTTCTTTCTAAAGTGAAGTTGAAAGATTTAAATTTTTAATAATTTTAATTTTCAAAAAAAAGCTTTATTGAAAAAATGCTGTCACATGGTGAGCAGTTAGATCCCATTGTTTTTTAAGTAAACGTGTCCTAAAGTCTGAAAAGCTTGTCAGTACCAAAACATAATTTCTGCAATTAAGTAAACTTGTTTTGTCTTTTGATGAAATGAAAATGAAGATTTTATGTGTGTCCAACTGTTCAACGCTGGTCATGTAGTGGCTAACGTTTTTGAGTTATGCTCAAAATGAACTAAAATCAGTCACTACTGAAACACTTGGTAAAGTTTTGGTGGTGTTATGGTAGTAGTGATAAAATGGAATGTTCAGTCACTTATTCTCATAAAATAAACATAATTAAGATATGGAATCATTCAAAGCAAAAGAATTTTAGTCTAAAGTTCAAGTCAGTTGAAAGTCTGAAATGTTGAAATATTTCAAGCTTTTCCAAAAGTTCGGACAGAATTTTCAGACTCCTGTCTCAGTGTATTATACTACTACTACTACTACTACTAAGAATAATAATAATAATAATTAGTATCATAATAAATTATATTTATATAGAGCTTTGCAGTAACCCAAAAAGACAGTGGTTAAGATCACAAACATAAATTACCACCCAACATTAACATACACCCACAAAAAAGTTAAATATGCAGACCTATTCTCTCTCTCTCTCTCTCTCTCTCTCTCTCTCTCTCTCTCTCTCTCTCTCTCTCTCTCTCTCTCTCTGCAATCAAACTCAAGTACACTTCAGTCAAGGACAGTACCCCTACACTGATGCACTCTGGGCATTTGAAAGGCTGTCTAACTCTCGACACTTGTAGCTAGTCTGGAGTCGTTTGGTGTAGAGTTGAGTCTGATACGAGAGGGAATATTTTATCTTAAGTGAGGTAGTGCTCAAAAAAACACAGTTAAAATGACATGAGAGAATGACTTTTTTTGCAGCAAATCAATGAGTACCAGTTTTATTCATCAAGGCTTCAGCTGTACAAATTATCATTGATTAGTTACTGGCAGCTGTCCCAGATTAATTTAAATCATGTCTCATGATGGCTATGATAATTTTCCTGCAGTCTGCACAAGCATTTCTGTCAACACTTATTTGGTCTTTTTTGAAATATAAATTTATTTAAGAGTGACAGGGAAAATGACACATACAAAGATTTTGTCAGCCAGTATTTTTCGTGCAAGCCAGTATGCTCTTAAAGTAAAGATTCAAAGTGAAAATTCATTATTTGTCAGCAGATCTTTTTAAAAAAAAATTATTCAGGTTTGTTGGATGATGCTTGTGGAATGCAATTTACAAATTGTGCCACAGATTCTCAGTTGGGTTTAGATCTGGACGTTGACTTGGCCACTATAAAACATTCTCTTTTTTGTTGTTCAACCACTCCTGTGTTGCTATGGCCTTGTGCTTGGGATCATTATCCTGCTGAAAGGTGAAGTTTTTTAAAAAGCTTTAGCTTTTTGGCAGACTGAAGCTGGTTGGCTTGCAGTATCTCCCTGGGTTTTGAGCCATCCATCCGTTCTTCATTTGAAGATGCCCAGTCCCTGATGAGGAAAAGGATCAGACTCACATTCTGACCAGTGGTACTGGAATTAATCGTGTATTATATCCAGAAAAGATGAACTTTTCACAGGCAATGGCCTAGTTAAGCCAACTGAGACCTTGATAGGGCCATATACTTTATCTGTGTTAACTTGGAGCTTCCATAGCGCAGGGGTTGAATACTTATGCAAACATCATTTTTCAGTTAGTAATTTTCTTGCATAAAATCAATATCACTTTACATCAATTCATTTTGGGGTTAGAGTTTCAAAATAAAATGCGACACAGCACAAAACATCAAAGTGTCATTTGTAATCTAGTTGAGTCTAATGACTTTTAAGTGGTTTGAATACTTTTGCAAGATGCTGTATCTCTCTCTGTCTCAGGGTTGCTGGAGGAAGATCACTATTGATGACTCTTTGCCGTTTGATGAGAAGAGCAATCTGCTGCTTCCTGCTACCACTAACCAGTCAGAGCTCTGGCCTATGCTATTGACTAAAGCTATCCTTAAGCTAGCCAGTACGGAGTAAGTATTTCATGAGATCACTGTGACAAAACTCTGCAATCAAATAAAGTTCCCAGAATCAAATGATGTTAGTTAGATGCTCTAAAAATTGATAACATTGTGAAGCCAAGAAAGGCCCTTGCCATGCTCTCTCATGCTCACTCACAGGAATATTAGGCTTGCTTAACCTTGATAAATCAAGGGTTTAAGGCTCCCTTTATGAATGTGCCAAATGGATGTTTGAATGGTGGATTTGTCAAAGGTCAGTGTGTGTAAATGTTTAATCTAACTCAAGAAGACAGGAGTTGCTGGGATCTGTGAATCATTTATCATGTGCGGGGAAAGTTCACAGGAAACAACAAAACAACAGCAATATATTTCCTGAGGCGCCTTTGGGACCTTCTGGAAAATGCAGACACATGTACACTTGCACACACATAACAGCAGTTCACCTGAAGAAGTGGCAGGCAATGTCACTTTTCCTCCTTTATTTGCAGGCTTATTATTCAGTTATTAATCTTAAGATTTATTATACAATAACTACTTATTGAGTAACTAAAATTATGTAAGTTATGTAGTTTTGAGAGTGTGGGTCCACGTACAGTCACTTGTTCCTTGTTTAAGGGGTTAAGCCAGTGATGCAAGTGATGTTGTGTCGTTTGACTTGGTGTGAGCACGAAGAAAAGAAGAGCGGTGAAATGGTGCAGTTAATTAATAGCTGCCGGACTGCTTGAATACAGCATCCCGTGAGGCACAATTAGTGCATCTGCCATCTGGTTTCTTCAAGAAAGAGAGGGAGAGAGAGCAATAGGCCACACACACACACACACATTGACACATGCTCACACACGCACAAAGAGTCATCTGATTTCATGAAACTGCTGCATAATGAAGTTATACAGCATATAGAAAGATATTGCTCATGGTGGGAATGCAACCAAAAGGAACCCTCAGTTCCCCTGTGGAGCTCATTTCAGTCAGGATTTCAAGTCCATGGTTTTAATTTCTTCACTAACACTGAGCTGTTTCTTTATATACAGTTATTGATGCTCTTTTCATCTTTCTCAGCTACTCTAATATAGTGTCTGTGACTGTGCATTGAGTGTGGCCTGCACTCAAACAGGTCACTACAGGGAAATAACCAAGATGGCTCAGTCAAGTAGGGAAAATGGCCTAAATTAACCATGAGGACAGCACTAGTATTGATGCTCGCTGGTGCTGGAATTGACATTGCCATTGTCACTGTGTGTCCCTTCAGTGTGGTGCCAAGCCCCAGGAGAGAGCTGGGAGAGTTCACTGTCATCCACTGTCTGACCGGCTGGATACCAGAGATAATACCCCTTCAGTAAGACTCTCTTGCTCACTACAGCTTTCATACTGTGCCTCTGTTATTTACATAGCAAACCATTTTCCTCATGGGACGTGGATGGCGTATTGCCCTATTTCTATTGACATTTATTACCCAAGACTATCGCTCTGAAAGACTCCTGCTTACATGTCATGCCTGTCATTGTGTAGCACTGCCTAACGTTATTCCAGTCCTTATTGACATTCGTTACCCAACCTTAAGAAAATAAGTTCTAAAGATGACAAGTTCTTTGTCCAAAATGCCTTGACCACTTAGTAAGACTGACTAACCAACCTGATTAATGTACAGTTATATGCAAAAGTTTGGGTGCGTCTAGAACTGCAGATGAACTAGTAGATGTTAGCACTAATAGCTGGCATTAGCTTAGTGAGAAGGCCTAAACAGCTTTACGCATATCCATGCAGGTTTATTCTGGCTCAGTAAAGCCTCAGGGACTTACGTTTAGAGAGTAAAGACCCAAAACCTGAGTAAAAAGCAGCAAAATCTATGTTTGTGCGTGTGGAACTGTTAGCTTTAGTTACTTTTAATTCATATGCTTCTGAAATCTTTACTGTATGAGCTTTGTTTCTGCTCTGTCACATTTTTTAAACATAGAGACAGCTTGTTGGATAGTTGGAGTAAGTGGCAGGGTTTAGAAACAGAGCAGCAAGCAGGCATTTACAATTGGCTTAATTGTGCAAACTCATAGATTTTAGCATTCTTAATGAGTGTTGTGGTTTGGGGACTCTCCTATGCCATTTTTAGTTGTTTCTTGGGCATAGCAATAATGCAGAACTAATAGGTAACAATTTATTATTTAACATAGATGATTGTATCAACTGATGGCTTTAGGGGTATTTTAGCTTATTTTCACAAAATCATAATTAGTCCAAAACATGTCATTTGACTAAGGATGTTCAAATGTTTGTATTCGACTGTACACAATGATAAAAGTGAAGTGTAATCACTTTCTTAATTATTAGAAGGTCTGCTAAGCAACAAAGACTGAAGCAATACCATAGCATACCATTGCCACGAATGGAGCTTCCTCTTTGACGTCCACTCTCTCTCTGCCTTCTATCAGTAGGCCATGTAGCGCTAATGAGGTCCACTGATCTATTGCTCTCCCTCTGGGATTGGGCATGGGCCTTGTTTTCTGCCAGACTGGATAGACAATGCCACAGTGATTAGGCAGTAATGGCCGCAGACGTTGGCCTCCCTTAGAGTACGCTTCTTTCAGCACCTCCCATGAACAAGCGACCAGCAACATGTATGTCTTCCATTCTTTCATGATTGAGTTAGTGGGCTAATGCGAATGTGGTACGAGGCATGACCTGTGGTCATGGTCTTACAAGGGCATGTTAGTTCTGCAGTCTTCCGAAGCATAGCGCTCGTGTCGGCTTTGTTTCGGCAAATGCTGCAGGGCGTTTTGTTTCGTACGCTCTGTTGAGTTTCAGTGGTTCGGAGGCTTCCGCTGAGACCTTATCAGTGTACATGCAGAGAGAGAAAGAAGTGTGTGTGCATGTTTGTGTATTGTGTATATACACACACAGTTTTTCTGTCACATTGCTCTAACAGCGTGAAGCATGACATGACAGCAGAGCGTAACTGGGAATATGTGTTTGTGAGAGAGAGAGAGTATCTTACTGTGTTGCTTTTTTGTAAAGCTCCTTTCCCGTAATTTCATTTGTGTTGTACTAGGGCTTAACCGATATGACAAAAGTTGTTACTGATACACTGAAAAGAATGCTTTGAATTGACGTGATTCGAATACCAGCCTGTTGCACAATAAATAAAATATGTTAATTCAGCACAATTGCTGTCTTTTAGTTTACGTCCTTTGGCAGAAATTGTGTTAATGTTGGGGTGGGTTATGTGGCAAAAATATCGTATTGCAATACATAAAGCCATTTTTGTGTTACATAAAACGTATCAAGATATTTTCACACACAGACACAGTGCACTAATAGTGCCACATTTAAAAATTGCTGATAAAAAATGCTCTCTTATAATGAAACATGGAGTTGGCCGGTGTTCTTTAAGTACTGAAAATGTCCATGTCCATGCTCAGAAAAGTATATTGTATATCATAATAACAAAATGTATCATGATATGTTGTCATTTTGCCCACTTTTGTGTTGATGTAACACTTGTTATTCATGAGCAACTGACTGTCTTGTTTGATTCATGTAGATGCATAATTTTTAGGAGCTAAAAATTTAGAATAACTGTTAATGCAGACCAGTAGAATTTTATGTGGTCTTCTCTGATCTTGCAAAACGTATGATTGTCTGTAAAGGGGCATGAAGTTACTTGTCTAGAATTTGGTGATATTGCCATATTTTCCTGAGTTTGTTCAATTTGGCAAGTGTTTGAAAAATTAGTTCTAGGGTAGTGGCGGTGTGATATTATACTGCATTCTTGTTTGGCGTGGCTTGTACCAGCAAATCTTTTAGTCTTTTTTAGTCAGACACTATACTGTATGTGACAGTGCAACAGAAACCAGACGCTCGCGGTGTAAAAGGGCGAAAGCTGTTTTAATAGAGTTAGGCAAAGGCTTGGGTCAAAAAACAAGCATGGGTCAAATCCAAACAGCAGATACAAAACACAACAATGATCGAATCACCATGCAAACTAAACCAAGGGGCAAGACAAAAGGGCAAGTCCAGAGGGTCAAAAACACAGAACACCAAATAACAGGCAACAGTATCCAAAAAAGGGGTAAGGCAAAAGGCAGAGTCGAGAGAACAAAGCAAAAGGTCAAAATACACGGCAGACAAATGATCAGAAAGAACGCTCAGTAAGTTTGTAAAGAAGCAATACCTCGCACTGAACTTCACTAAAGCCCGGGCTTATAAACTATCCTGTCCTGATCATATGATCTAAAACACAGGTACCAATAGTTAATACTCAGGAGAACGAGAGCGCTGATAGGAGCACGAGACATTGTCAGAAGTTATGTGATCCCCCAGAGGATTGTGGGAAATGGAGTCCGACAAAGTCTCCGAGTCAGAGGGAAGTAGCCCAGTCATGTGATCCTCGTGCGAGTTCTGGGTAATGAAGTCCATATCATCCCGTGATACCGGCGAATGCGTGACACTGTATGTATTTAACCTTCAGTCAAAATGGCCATTACATACAAATTATGGATTTTTTCAGATGAATTTCTAAGGACATTAGATATAAGATAATCCCTTTGCATAAGAAAGTGGAAAGTCAAAGGAAAATAATTGGAAAATAGGAATTTCCAAAACTGGAGTTCACAAAATGATCAAGAGAGAGGAGAAAATCAAGCTCCACTCTTGCTTCAGATCTGAAAAAATCTACAAGTGTTTCTGTCCATCTTTCATAGTTAAGGAAGAAGCACTGAGAAGACAACTCAATGTCTATTAGTCATTAATGAGAAAAGTAAATAAACAAAAAAGTAGAAAATAAGCAAATCAAACCAAGATGTTGCTCATGTTCTCAGAACAATAGAATGGACACCCCAGAGTCCATAACTCAACACCATTGAATGTGTTTGGAATTACTTGGATCGTGAGATGTAGAAAGCAACTTTGAAGACTGAACTTTGGAGGTGTGGAAAAAATATCTCTGCTGATTTCTTTGAAAAACTAAAAGTAAGTCTCCCAAAAAGAATCACTGAATAATGAAATACATACGTACATACATCATCTAAACCGCTTATCCTTCTGGGTCGCGGTGGGGTGCTGGAGCCTATCCCAGCTGTCATTGGGCGGAAGGCAGGATACACCCTGGACAGGTCGCCAGTCCATCGCAGGGCAGAATAATGAAATATTCACTGAATAATGAAATATTTTATTTTATATGTATATTGTTGAAATGACGCTAGAAAATGAATAACATTTTGGCCATTTTGACTGGAAAGTAAAGAAATGAAGAGTGGTCTTTTACTTTTTCACAGTAATATCTATATATATCTTTTGTTTTTTTTCTTTTTTTCAGTCTGATGTTTCAATTATCCTGTATAACAGTATTTCTTTGCTAAACCTAATAAGCAAAGAATTTTATGTTATCAAAAATTAAAAGATGCCAGTAATTCAGATTGATATAAACATCAGCATTATTGGCTGAAATTAAAATAAAGAGCACAAACTTACACTGTCTTACAACATAAATACAAAAGAAGCTCACTTACAAATAACTTTATAACCGCAAACCTTAAAACATAAATTGCCATGGTTTTGAACTCTCTTCCCTTAGTGCAGACAATATGTTTGATTATCAGTGCTTTATTGGTAGGATTTCAGCTGTTTCTAATGGAAATTTATTATTGCCCTGTTTGATCAGTCAAAATAAAATATTGATGGTGTGTAGTGTGTACATGTGTGCATCTGTACATATTAGAACAAGGCTTCAGGATCTCCTGGTGTCGTTTATTCCATGTTGCGAATCTGCTGTTGTTCCAAGCTCCATGCTTCTCTCTCCAACTGCTCCCATTCAGGCCTGGCTCACACATGACAGGGAGGAGCAGAGCAGGCCAGAAAAATGTGGCACTTCCAGTGCCTCTCCGGCTGACAACTTAGCAGTATTCCCTTCCCTAAACCCTAAATCCCTTTCAGCCTAGCAAGGTAGCAATTAAATTCCTAAAGATTATGGAAAACATAACTGAAGGTCAAAGGAATGGTCTGTTTTTAATTTACCGTATGTACCATCCATTATTTGGTTGCCTGTGAACCTTAATGTTGTGTCTGTCTTAAATGTGGGCATAAACCTGGAGTGTTCACATACAGTGTATTGATTAACAGCAACCTGCTGGTTCCCTCTAATTGCCGCTTATTGATTAGTGTGGGAAGATACGCTCCCTGTCCGTTCGGCTAGTTTCACTTTGGACATTGATCCCGCAGCAGATCATTAATCGGATACAAGCCGCGTTGCATTCAATTAGGCTTGAACATGTTTTGATAAGCCAGGATGATTAAACACTGCAATACGATGGTTAAACTGTGACTTAAGGAGGGATGATTGACTGTAGACTGTCCTAACGCTGTGTTTGGATGGCATTCCTAGATCCCGATATGTGGGAAAAGTGTGGGAATTCCTGAAGGATGCCATTCCGAGGTTTCAGGTCATGGAGGAGAGCTCAGAGGAGAGAACCTCATCGGCCGACTACACTGCTGCTAAAGACTCACAGGGCAGTGAACGTAACATTGAGTCACCTACTCCGAGCAAGGAAAATCACAAAGGTACTGTATTATATACAGGAGCATATATACAGTACAGCTCAAATAGTCGTATTAATAATTTTTGTTATTTTCTATACAATAATTGCTTTTTCACTGAAGATAAACTAGACATCAAAAGTTAGCTTTATTGAGTTTTTTAAAATATTCTATGAAAAGTCAAACAATGATAAATAATATAGTTAACACGATGCTATACAGGTTTCTCAGTCCTTTTGGAATTATGTACAGCTCTGTTTATTCTGGATATGTTCAAAAGGTTTTAGATTTTTACAGCTTTTGTCAAATCATTTATACATGCATCTGCAACAATTTTTTCCAAAAAAGTTTGGATGCTGTGCAGAATGTAAATAAAAATAGAATGCCATGATGATGCAAATTATGTAAACCATATTTTAAAGGAAAATACTACAAAGACAACATATCAAATGTTGAAACTGAGAAATGTTATTGTTTTTGAAAAATATATGCCCATTTTGAATTTGATGCCAACAACACGTTCCAAAAAAGTTGGGAGAGGGACATTTTTACCTCTGTGTTTCATCACCTCTTCTTTTAACAGACTCTGTAAGCGTTTGGGAACTGAGAAGACACTGCTATAGTTTTCAAAGTGAAATGTTTTCCTGTTCTGGTTTGATATAGAATTTCAGCTGCTCGACAGTTTGGGATCTCCTTTGTCGTATTTATTATTTCATAATGTGCCAAATGTTATCAGTGGGTGAGAGGTCTGGGCTGCAGGCAGGTCAGTTTAGCACCCGGACTCTTTTAATATAGAGCAATGCTGTTGTAATACATGCAGGATGTGGTTTGATATTGTCTTGCTGGAATAATCAAGGCCTTCCCTGAAAATGATGTCATCTGGATGGCAGCATATGTTGCTAAAACATGTATATATTGTTCAGTATTAATGGTGCCTTCACAGTTGTGCACATCAACCATGCCATGTGCACTAATGCACCCCTATACCATCATGAACGCTGGCTTTTGAACTGTGCACTGATAACAAGCTGAGTGGTCTTTAGCCCGGAGGACACAATGTCCAAGATTTCTAAAAAGAATTTCAAATGTTGATTTGTCAGACCACAGAACACTTTTCCACTTCCCGGTCCATTTTAAATGAGCTCAGGCCCAGAGAAGGTGGCAGCATTTCTGGATCCTGTTTATATCTGGTTTCTTCTTTGCGTTTTAGAGTTTTAACTTGCATTTGTGGATGCAGCGACGAACTGTTTTCACAGACAGTGGTTTTCAGAAGTGTTCCTGAGCCCATGCAGCGATTTCCACCACAGAATCATGTCTGTTTCTAATGCAGTGCCGCCTGAGGGCCCAAAGATCATGGCCAGCAAATACTGTTTTTTGGCCCTGTCCCTTACATACAGAAATTTCTCCAGATTCTCTGAATCTTTTAGCGATATTTTGTACCATAGATGATGAAAAGCAAAAGTTCTTTGCTGTTTTATGTTGTTCATTGTTCTTGAATTGTTGCGCTGTTTGAGTGGTGAATCCCTCCTCATCTTTACTTCTGAAAGACTCAGCCTCTCTGGGATGCTCTTTTCATGTTACTGTCCAATCATGTTACTGACCTGCTGCCAATTAACCACCAGATGTTTTTTGTAGCATTATACAACTTTACCAGCCTTTTGTTGCCCCAGTTCCAACTTCTTTGGAACGTGTTGGTGGCATCAAATTAAAAATGGGCATATATTTTTCAAAAAACAATAAAATGTCTCAGTTTCAACATTTGATATGTTGTTTTTGTTTTATTTTTAATTAAATATAGGGTTTAAATTATTTGCACCATATTGCATTTTGTTTTTATTTATGTTTTGCACAGCGTCCCAACTTTTTTGGAAATGGGGATGTACATTACTTAAAACACTGGTTCCAAACTTTGGAACATTGATTCTAAACATTTGAACCATAGTGTAGACACTCATACATATACACACTCTGTGTCTTTGAGCCATGTTTGTGGATATCTCAGACTAATTGCACCATCAGTGAAGATGCTCCAAAGTAACTAGCCCAGCTGTGCAGTCCAAATATTCCAATTGCGCAACGTGCAAATCGTTCAAAACGTAGTGGAAAATGGGGGAAGTCCCCCTTAATAACAATGTCTATTTACTGTAAAGCTAAAACATCTGTGCATGAGTCTGGCATGTACAGCATGATCATGCATGAACCTATGCACAGTTAGGGGAAATAAATCAGAACATTAGTCAATTTGGTTTTTATAGCACAGTAAAAGAAAAGCTTGTAAAGTGGCAACATTCCCCCCTACCTAGGATTAGAAGCCCTTTGGTGAATCTTGCATCAATTTGTCATCTAAGTTTCACAGAAGATATAATTTATATGTCAAATAACTTCTAAAAACTTCCTCACAGAAAGTTAGTGCATAAAATGGTGATGAATGCGCTGCCTGGTGCCTGAGACAGTATTTTACGATAGTTTTGTTTATTTTTTAAAGTAGTATCATTTTTTATGATTATATTAATTACATGATATTATGTAAAATATTATGTAAAATAATATTTTACATAATATCATGTAATTAATATAATATAAATAATAGTAAACATTCAACATTCAACAAGTGCAAATGATTATTGTACATGACATAACAAATAAGCTGTTAAAGTTAAACTTAACAAACTCATCTGCAGCAGGATGTAAAAATGTCAGTTCTAGCTAATGATTGCTGGTGCTAGCATTTAACACTAATAATAGCTAGTCAGTGATGGGTTTTCTAAAATCATCTTAGTACAAAGTGCTAAAGTGCTAAGTGGTAGAGTGAGTGTCACCCTGAACACTCTATCAGTTCCTAGTTCAATTACAATAACTAATGTTGTGGCTTTATAATAAAAGTCAAATAAAATTGTATTTTTGGGGCAATATCCTAAAGCACATGTACTGCATTCTCCACAACCCCCAAAATAATATATCCTAGGTAGCTTTTCTTGTACAGCCGAATACATAAGCATTGCCCAATATAATCCAATGACAAAAAAGTAGATCAGCTGACCCCAAAAAGTTAGAGCAAAAGTTAATGCATAGCCATGCAGTAAAGGTACTGAGATCCGGTTTAGCTCCATTATTTGAGGAGAGAAAAGAGGATAGATCCCATTATTTTGAAGTACAACCCCATTTCCAAAAAAGTTGGGACGCTGTGCAAAATGTAAATAAAAACAGAATGCAATGATGTGCAAATCATTGAAACCTTATATTTCATTGAAAATGCTTCAAAGACAACATATCAAATGTTGAAATTTGTTTGTTTGAAAATATATGCCCATTTTGAATTTGATGCCACAACACGTTCCAAAAAAGTTGGGACGGGGACTAGAAAAGGCTGGTAAAGTTGTGTAATGTTTAAAAAAACACATGGTGGTTAATTGACAACAGGTCAGTAACATGACTGGGTATAAAATGAGCATCCCAGAGAGGCTGAGTCTTTCAGAAGTAAAGATGAGGAGGGGTCCACCACACTGTGAAAGACTGCTTGCGCAAATAGCGCAACAATTCAAGAATAATGTTTCTCAACATAAAATAGGAAAGAACTTTTGCTTTTCATCATCTACGGGATATAATAACATTAAAAGATTCTGAGAATCTGGAGAAATCTCTGTATGTAAGGGACAAGACCAAAAAACAGTATTTGCTGGCTGTGATCTTTGGGCCCTCAGGCAACACTGCATTAAAAACAGACATGATTTTGTAGTGGAAATCACTGCATGGGCTCGGAATCACTTCTGAAAAACACTGTCTATGAAAACAGTTCGGCGCAAAGAAGAAAGCATATATAAACGCAAAGAAGAGAGCATATATAAACAGGATCCAGAAACGCTACCACCTTCTCTGGGCCCGAGCTCATTTAAAATGGACCGAAGGGAAGCGGAAAAGTGTTCTGTGGTCCGACAAATCAACATTTCAAATTCTTTTTGGAAATCAGGGACACTGTTGAGCAGCTGAAATCCTATGTTAAACAAAAATGGGAAAACATTTCATTTTCAAAACTACAGCAATTGGTCTCCTCAGTTCCCAAACGCTTACAGAGTGTTGTTAAAAGAAGAGGTGATGAAACACAGAAGTTAACATGCCCCCATCCCAACTTTTTTGGAACGTGTTGTTGGCATCAAATTCAAAATGGGCATTTATTTTTCAAACTTTTTTGGAAATGGGGTTGTAAATGTGTCCCAAAGTCTTAAAGTCAATATGTAACATTAAGAATTGTCACGACTGAAACTGACACTTTCTGCAATTAAGTAAACTTTTTTGAGTTTCAATGAAAAATATTTTGTGTGTACAACTGTTCAGAGCTGTGTTTTTTAGCTGTACACTGGCTAGTGTTTTTGAGTTGTGCTCAAAATTAGCTAAAAGGGTCACTACCGAAACAGGGATAGTAAGGTTTAGCTTTTTTTCTGGCCAAAACTACTGACACTAACTACTGTGAAAATGTGTCAGATCGTCTTAACATGACCTTCCCCTTGTCATGTCGAAAACTCCAAGCTGAGATTTTCCTCTGTGAAAGTGTTCCTAGTACTATTCTAAAAGAATCTGATGCCCATAGTCTTGTCTACTGAAGATTTCTCATCCATAATTTAACAATTAGTCATGTTTCTGTTCTTGTAGTGGGCCAAGACTAATGTTTTCCCAGTATTCAAGTCATAGTCTGCAATGCTTTACTTTCAGAGAAAAGGAAAAGCAAAGATGGGGACAAAGACAGAAAGACCACCCAATCCAATGAACCAACCTCCACCCAGCCCAATACTACCAGTCAACCCACAGCTGACAGTGAGTAACCTTTTGTGTGTGGATGTGTGTAAGAAAGAGACCTTTTTGATGTTATGTTTATGCCTATATGTCAGTATATGTGTTGCTATTCTTCCTACCCAACATGCATTATTTACTCTAAGAAAAATGCAGCTGATCATGAATATTTCATTTTCCGGGCAAAAACGCTTCATATTTTCTGAAAAACGTAAGTAATTCTTCACTTGTGCTGCTGTGGGCTGCAGTTCTCATGCCGAGGCAGCTATAGTTTTAATTGGGCCTGAAATTTTTAACCAAACATAAACATAGACAGAGAACATTCTTTGTCCAGAGTCCTTTAGTACCAAGTTTAGAATCCACACCCGACTATAGCCTGACAAGATGGTGTCCACCACAAATCAGAGACTGATTAAAACTCCATATTCCTAATGGAGTAATTCTGATCGGGTCAGGTAAGTTACATAGTGACGGTGATGAATAGAGATGTTTCGATACATTTAGCCTACAATTTATATTCACAATACTGTGTTCAGAATTCTGCAGTCTCACACTATTTTGAACAAAATTCAAATGAAGAAAAATGATGACTGTTATCATGTTGTTGCCGAGTTTACTGACAATGCTAGAGCTGTGAGGCAGGAGGCGTGCTAGAGAGATTTGTTAACTGGTGTTGATCATTTGCAAACTTTGATGTTTGAACAGTGTAATTGCATTACATGGCATAATTAATAGAATGTTCATTCTGAATGATGCATTAATGCATCACCATGATGCATAGTGTCATAGCTTTGCATTGCAATATCACAATATCATGATGCATTGTCCACCCCTATTGACTTAAATGTCATTAGATCATCAATAACCAAAATGAGAATAGTCTAATTATCATTTAAAATTAGGTCTAAACTCCTCTTTAATTGATCACAATGCTATTGAACTACATTCCAAGTAGTTATTCTAAATAAACATTACATAATCCATTGCTCACATGCTGTGCGCTGCTGACACACAAACAAATTATCGGATTTATTGTGTCTAATTAACCCCTTAAAATCCATGGAACTGTGGGTGGGTGTAGACTTCCTTTCCTCGCTCTCATAACTACATACCTTATATATTAGTTCATAGTTGTATAAACTAATATATGAATAATTGATCTATCCATGAAATGGCCCTATAACAATTTTCTAGGTTGGGACAAACATTACAGAATGTTGGCAAAAATCTCATCCAACTTAACTCAGTTATGTAGTGATTCTAAATTTATTATTAGTTGAATGGGTTGTTTTTCAGTATTCTGTAAAGCTTGTCCAGCATTGTAAAAAAATGCATGTAGTTAAAGGGGAATTCCACATGTTTTTCAAAATTTCCACATAATTCATTGGTTGAGATGTAGACAAAATCATATAGAGTAGTTTGATGTTAAAAGGATCATTGTAGAGAAACTTACAGACTCAGATTTCTTTACAGTGGTGGTGATAGGAACCAGGGATTGCGATGTCTACAACACAAATGTAGCCATTTTATTTACTATCCAAAACCACCAGTGAACCTACGTCTGAGTTCTTATGTAATGTTGATGATGATTAGATAGTGAGAAATCTGAATGAAAAGTTTTCTTTGGGGATTATTTTTGCCTCACAACACCCTGCATGTACCTCAACACCATAAATGTTTTTAAAAATATGTTTTAGGTGAACAATTTATCACAAAAATATCTTAAAACAAGGTCTCAGACATCAGACACCATATTCATAACCATTTTGAGTAAGACCTGTCTGTGGGGGAGCTTTTAGAGGCGGATGTCTGGTTCCTATTACCATCACTGTGAACAATTCTGACTTGGTGAGTTACTCTAGAATGGAGCATTTCACATCAAACCACTCCTCAAGGTTACATGTAATTCAGTTAATGTAAATTCAGTATATAAATATAAGTATAATGTGATGAATTTAATGAGGAACCCAGTCATGAAATTTGAATCCCACCTGAGCCTGACAGATACTTGAGAAGGAAACTACCTATTGTGACCAAACCTAGACATGAATAGTCAAGACCCCTAGGGTTGGGACAAATATTTCAAGCTCTACTGACTGCCCGCCCGTCCACAGGAAAAGACCCCACCTGCTGCCACGCCTTGCTTCCTCTGTAGGTTCATGCATTATGGAACCTCTCGGATCTGCATGTATCATCAGCATGAATAAATCAAATAGCTAACCCTCTTGTCTGCTGCGATAGAGAGAGAGAGAGTTGAGTTTGTATGTGTTGCGTGCATGCCCTAGATTGCCAACAGAGTCATTAAGCTGGTTTATTCTCAGGTACGCCTGTAGTGTGCTGAGCACATCTGAATTATTTGGCATGCCCCGAGGGTGCAACTACCTTTTTGTTACTCCCCAGTTCATCTGTGAGGTGTGCTTTGGTGACGCACACACACAGAAGCACACACAAATCCACAGAATTGGCGGAAAATCGACAGTGATTTGAGAGAAAGCGCTCAAATCAGTGGATGTGCTGGCACGGATGCTTGATTTTCCTATTAAGAGAAATGACGAGCAGAGCTTTATGGCTCTTTTGGGTAATTAGTCTCTGTAAGTGAATGACAGAATTACATCAGGAGGGAGCTAGAAGGGCTGCTATTGAAATATCACTTTCTCCATGTCTATCTCTTTGACTTTTTCCACTTTTTCTTTATTGTTGAGTCTTCTGCTCTCTGTCTCACTGCTTCCATGTGGTCGATACTAATTTATTAGGGAAAGATTGTAACATGCTGTGACATATATAAGTTGGCACCAAGCCCTAGATCATCTGTGCCTCAAGCAATACGTCTCTGCCTCTCTCTGCTACACACACACACATACACGCAAGTAGCTCGTTCTATTAATATTATGGGAACATTTACTGTGCGTTTTCCCTAAGAACGTGAAGAATAGAGCATCTCATTAACCTTGCCTAGGACCCTGCTCCATTTATTCAATTCTTTAAGGATAATGTCGACTGTATCTCTCTCTCTCTGAGAGATCAGGGAATATTCACCTGATGTTTTTGACTAGGGATGGGAGGGTTACTGGCTTTAATGACATACCCAAAGATAGTTATACTGTTTGACATATTGATGTTTTTGATAACTCTGTACAGTTACCATCTCTTTGAAGGTGCAGTATGTAAGATTTTGGGGCATCTATTAGCAGAAATATAGGGAGATTCACTTGAAAGAGGCCCCAGATTTTCTGTTGTAACTCCCATTAGGATGAAGCAATCTGAATCAAAAAAATACACTACATACCTTGACGCGCTGCTCAATACTGTACACCACCATCCTGATGAGAAGTTGAGTGACTGAGTGAAGGGGTATGGGGGTACGCACCCGGAAGTTGCAAACTATCTGGCGCCTACCTCATCGCTTCGACACAAGGGCATCCCAGCTTTTTTGAAGCTCCATATGCTGGATGCACATTACAGGTTGTTTCGTTCAGATTACAGGTTGCTTCGTCCTAGCGAGAGTTATTACAGAATGTTCGGGGACCTCTTTCGAGTGAATCTCCCTGTAGAATATAGTATATAAAACCATGTTTTCATTAGTGTATCATCACCTGTAACTACAAATCGTTATGTTTTCGTTAGCTTAGATTGAGTCCTTCATATATACGTGGAGAGTGAGTCCTCATCCAACACAGGCCACCATGTTGCATCGCCATGTTTCTACAGTAGGCTAGAGTGGACAAACCGAACAGTGGCTCTAGAGAGTGTCCTTTACGTTTTTACATTGAAGTGGCAGATTGAATTTGGTGGCACTATAGCACTAGTTGGTTGTAGAAAGAAGAAAAATCAGAATTGATAGTTGAGCTGTCTAATGACTTTGAGTTTAAAAAGATGGGATGACCTGTTTCACATGTCTGTAGTGAAACCCTTCACCCTACCAGCTTGGTAGCATTGTTGTATTTTTTCCCCTTGAGGTCCATTTATAACATTTGTGGGGTTTTATGTACCAAAAAGGTCATAATTTATTTTTACATTACTATTTTACATTACTACCAGCCTCTTCTTATTCCTTAAAATTATACAGGCTTTTTTTTACTGTGCCTTTTGTTACTCATATAAGATAAATTAGCTCTGTTCTGCTTGGCTGACCTGTATTGTCATTGAAAAAGGACTCAGAGGTGAAACACTGCTTATTACTAAACTGATGTTGGCTGAATCAGTGTATATCTGAACGGTTAAATGTAAATGGTTATCTAAATTGGTTCTTGTGACATCACAGACACAATGAAATAAAAATGGGATGTTTTTTGCATCATAATTTCTGCATATGGACCATATGGACTGGATAGTAAATGGTACGTTGTGAATCTTTAAGAATGTTTCCATATTACTTCAAACATTGGGTCCTTTAAGGATACCAATAATACATACAGTAAGCTGTTAAAGTATCATTACAGGAAATTTTATCCCCATTTATGACCATATGTGATAAAATTAGCACAACCTCTCTCTCTCTCCTGACATTCTTCTGCTCAGTGAAACCAGATAATATTTGCCTGACATTCTTGGCTAAAGATAAGGCAGTTACTGGTTTTTACAATATACTGTGGTATAAAATCCAAGGGTTTTTTATTTTTCTGATAAGTGAGTGCGGTTACCATCTCTCTGGGTGGCACAACCATCTAAGTGTTGATCTTATTGTGTGTTACACTCATCCATGGCCAGGAGTCCAAAAGAATTTAAGAGGCCTCGATCTTTATTCCTGGGTGGGATGTCCATCCTCCTCCCCCAGTCACTCAGCGCAATGCCAGTCAGTGTGTCTTGTAGGACACATGTGCCAGCCTTAACCTTCCCAGCTTGGTAGCATCCTGTAATAGTGGGATGCCAAGGTAGAAGGTAGAATTGGACATTAAATTGAATAAACTACATTGGGGAGAAAACAAAAAAAAATCACAGTAGAAATAGTGATTGCATTCTTTGTCTCTCTCTCTTTTACTCTGATCTGATTGGGCGAATAGCTGCTGACAGATCTACTCTCTTTTCACTGAGCTGCTTTGTGTGTAATAATGGTGCCGTTTTGCCTCTCTCGGCTCATATACGGTATCGGCTTTCCATTGTTTTGAAAACACTTTGTCGCATTTTTTGTGAACCCGTCTTAATTGTTCTTTTCCCAAACTGAGGGGGACTTGGAAGTGCTTCGTTCCAGTGTGCAGCGATGCATACAAAGAGCTTGGATAATGGGAAGAATAATCTCCTTTCCCTGTCTGATGTGCCTCTTTTTCTCTGTCTCTCACCCTCCCCAACACACACACTCTCTCTCTCTATCTCTGGTCTAGGCAGCATGCCTCCTCCTGCTCCTCAGATGGTAGTGTGTGCCAGTTACCAGCCGTTGCACCTGCAGGAGAAGAGGACCTCCGTGCTGGGCCAGATGGTACTCTCAAAGCTCTCTCCCATAATGCCACAAATATTGAAATATATTCGGCCGACAACAACAGACAGCTCACAATATGCTAGTCTGCAATGCTGCCCATGACAATGTCCCTTAAATCCAGTCCTGCAGAGCCACATCACCGCTCTGCTGAGTGTTTTTTCCTGCTCTAACATGCTTGATTCATCTCATTTGCTTATTCTCTAACCATTCAGTTAGATCAGGCCTGTGGGAGCAGGAATATGGTGTAGTGCCTGATGGAATAGACCTATATTATGAGGTTCTTACCTACATCAGGAAAAGCATACAATTTAATGGTACTCATTTCCACCCCTGGAAAAGTATGGAATTTCTGAAAAATGCACACTACCATTCAAGTTCACTGTGCATATTTTGGAATCAATGTTTTCAGTTTGGTTGCAGACAAGTGTATGAAATGATTCTAATATACTAGTCCTATGCAACTTAACAGGTTTTAAATAATTAGTAGGAAGCTAAGAGGCTATAAATAACAATTCAGAAATTATAGAGATGTCCAAAATGATGAGCAGAGCTATGGATGAATCCAAAATGACTAAGAAAGCTGTATAGCAGTGTTATAGAAAAATTAGCATCCAGGATTCATCATATTTCAGAAAGTGGAGATCAAATCAGATAACTTGACAAAATCATATAAGTAAGTAATTGTATAGTACAGTATCATTTTATTCCCTTCTTGTTCTTGAAATTTTAAAACCTGTATATCATAAAACACATTGTAGGGGAAAATGGGGGGAAATGCCCATTTACTGTAAAGCTACACTGTAACTGTTTATGAATTCAGCATGTAAAGGATGATGATACATAGACCTATGCACAGTTAGAAGAAATAAACTGGAACAGCAGTCAATTTTTTAATAAGAAAATCCCCCCCTACCAGAAGTACGGAGCCCCCCCGCCCCCCCCAGAAAATCAGTAAATTCCCCCAGGCATTCAGTAAACGTGTCAAGATTAGAGTGGGGGGGGGGGTTCTTACCCTGGGGCCAAGTTACCTGAAGGTACTGTTGTATAACAGTAACAAAAATGGTTAATATAGGAAATTTTAAATCGCAGTGTATGTAAATTCTGTAATCAAAAGAATATATACTAGAGATTCTGATTTGATATCTGCAATTCTTGGAAATTCTAACTAATGTGAAAAAGTATGGAATTTCTTCATGAGGAAAGGGAGAGAAACCTACCTAACACTGTAGTAGTTTCCTATCATGTGACAAACTGCACCACAATAATGGTGGTTATTGTTTAAAAGGCCAGCATTACTAAATGAGAGAATTACTCTTCTCATTTCTCAAGAACTAGTGAGGAGCCCAAGCCCACATATCTGAAGCTCATTAATTCATTAGTGTTCTCAAAACTGTGATCTCATTTTCTCCTTCCACCCATCTCTCCAATCCCTCCCTCCATCATGTGCTCAGGCTATATGCTACTCTGTTTGGCTCAGTGCTGGCTGTCTAATCCATTATTAACTCTCTATATTCTATAATCCATGATGGTCGTTGTGTGTATGTGTGTGTTCTCTAGGCAGACTCGTCAGAGAGACTGCGGCAGTATGGGCTCTCCCAGCTTTACAGTCACCCCGTGCTGCTCACACGAACCAGAGCCTGCCCCCTTGTGGCTGCCCCAAAATCGCCCCCCTTGCCTCGCTGGAAACTTATCCGCCCTCGAAAGGAGAGGAACATCACTGACGAACCCAAGGGTTAGGGCTCTGTGTGTGTTCACATTTGTATGTGTTTTGCCAAAACCTCACATACAGACACACTAAAGGAATAGTTTGGTGAAAAAATATGCACAGTTTGCCACACAGCCCAGATGTAGTTGATTAGCCAAGACATTCAAAAGCTCCAGTGCAAAACTAGAACTAGAAAACTAGAAGCAAACTTCGAACACCAAACATGTCTTGGCTGATCGACAACAAGCTTCAGGCTGTGGCTTAGAAAGAAAGATAGGTCATGGGGGAAGAAACGGTCCTAGGGCCAGCTGCAGGGAGTGGCAGGGAGACATTCCTGCCACTGCTCCACTACCAACAGATCTTCCGAGATTAATGGAGCGAAGCATCAGTGAGGCGTAGCTCCCAGCTGACGACCTTGCAGCTGGCCCAATGGCACCGTTGGAGGTGGGACAGGCAGCAGTGCCTAGCAGTTATCCCACCTGTGCATTGGTAAAGGGAAATTGTGTTGATTTGACTTAGTGACAAACTATTCTTTTAAGGCAGAATGCTATGTGTTATGGAATTTATCTTTGGGTGCCAGCCTCTGTTGGTATATGTGATGTTTACCACAGAGACTCCAGTCCAGAAGCCTGAACAGTACATAGAGGTGGCTAGTCCCTTCATCAACTTCAAACTCATGACCATGGCTGGACCGCTTCAACAGTAAGCAATGTGTGTATGTGTGTGTATAATGAACTATGTTTCCATGTCAGGAATAACTTTGCTTCTTAAAGCAACAGTTTGATGAAAAGGCAAATTTACCTGACAGTCATCCAGGACATGATTGGTGTCCAAATTTTGCTTCTTTAGTTTAGAACTGGAGCTGCTAATCAAACTGTGCTAACAAACACTGGAAGTCAGTAGTCACCCATACTATTTCAACCTGCTCCAACTGCATCCAGATCCTAATTCAGTTCACACAGACAAGTTGATGTGGTTTAGAACAGTGTTTAGAACCCAGAGGCAAATTGCCCTGCATATTTTAGTTTTTTACAGCTCCCTAATCAGCTTGTTAACAACCCCTTACTGTGTTGTAGTGGGTGTATTAAAGTAGGGAAAGCACAAAATGTGCAGGACAGTGTTCCTTCAGGACCAGGGTTAGGAAACACTGGTTTAGAACACAGTATGACTTACTTTGAACTATGAAACTTCTCTGTGTAGCTAAAAGGTGTTTGATTACTGGAATTATTTATTTTCTCCGCACAAGACGACCAAAGACAGGGCTAAGGGAGATCACAACACAGATGCATCGTAGGGTAACATAGAGAAGTGAGTGTACTCAGAAAATCAGTATAATGTCTGATTACAACTTGAGGACCGCATTTTCTGCACAAATTAGCCTCAGTCGTATGTGCTCAAACCTGAACATACACATGAAATGCATCACTTGGATGCTGGACCCACCAGTGACCAGTGACAGTGACCAGTGAACCCTAGGTATTATTGTCCTAACACTTCATACCTGCGTAGTGATGTTTTAGAACATGCCCCTGTGCTCCTGTGTCACAGAGTTTGAAGGCAAACTAGTAACAGAAAGCAGATAATATAGCTATATCAATGTGTTGATAAGGTCTAACCATGTCATTTTAATAAATCGTATGCGTATACATAATTTAAAATGAGTGCCATAATTAAAAAAAATATATGAAGATTTTGGCATGTATTTATGAAAACAGTTTGGGTGACTGTTGACTGCTAGTGTTTGTTAGCACCATTAGCCTAGCAGCTTCAGTTCTGAAGTAAAGAAGCCAAATGTGGACACTAAACATATCTTGACTGATCAACTGCACTTTGGAGGAAAATCATGTAAATCTGATTTCGCTGAACCTTTAAGTCATCAGAAGAACTTTAAAAACATGATATTTGGTGTCATAACTGAGTTTAATGTGTGTGTCTGTGCTGACTGCAAGGTTTAGGTGTGTGTGAGCTGTTTCTGGATGTGCAGGTGTTGTGAGGATGTGTAGTATGAGATGCAAGGGCGGTGTTAAGTACACTCTTGTTGTGTGTGTGGGAGGGTGCAGTCAGAGAGCCAGACAGCCATCAAACCTCAACATCGATCTGTGTCTGTGCGCCGAGCCTTTCGCCACGTTCATGATCACAATTCACTCATTCAATTCAAACATTCATCCCACTGCCACTGACAGAGGGGCTTATTCATGGGCTTCATTGTCCTGTGCCCTGTGATGGAGTGGTGGTGTTGTTTTCAGGCAGATTTAGCTCAGTATTTGTGTAAGGGCATTAGTGTTTGCCTTTTGACTAGATATATATGTGTGTTCTGCTGTAGGGATTCTCAACCAAATGGCAACAGGAGGCGTGCACGTAGCTCTAATCTGGCTTCATTCAATGAGACAGAGGAGAGCGATGGTCCCAACCCCACCCATCACGACATCACAGACAACAGCCTCAACTCGCTGGATGCTTTGGAAAGCACCGAGGTATGTTAGGGGCAGCCCATGTACTTTTACTTCATCTTTGCCAATTTGACTGAATGATAACCAACAATAATGACCAGTATACTGGACATGCAGTATTGTAGATGCAATTGACCTATCTATGTTGTGCCCAAAAAAGCTTTACAGAATATTCTCAAAAATGTTAAATTTGCGGTAACTCTTTAATTTAGGCAGTATTCATTAGGCTACACAACACCTACATAAGACACCCATCAAGACAACTGACATAGACCTACATAAACATTTATTCTAATAGGCAGCAATTTGTCATAAGGGTTGCACTTACCATCTCTGATGTCAAATTGGCATAACATGAGTGTCAGTTGACACTGATTTTTTTATTAGATTTTGTCATGACATTTTTTAAGGTAAAATGACATAGACTATGTAGGACAGCATGTCACAGTAACATAATGCTGATAATATAACATAGATTGCCAGGTCAGGCTAGCTGAACAAAAGTGAGCATTTTGTGTGGCCCCTGGGTAAAGTGAATTCCATTTATAAGATTTCCAACATATTTAAGTAGAATAGTATTATAAGTCAGTTGTTATAATGTGCTGCTATTTCAGCAATAAAGTCAACAATCAGTGTCACCAGACACCTCATGGACAAAAGTATGTGGACACCTGACCATTACACCTAAATGAGCTTGTTGGGCATCCCATTCCAAAAACATAGGCTTTAAAAAGGATTGTGTGCAGCTGTTCGGACATGGAAACTCATTTCATGAAGTTCCAGACACACAATTCTTGTGCTGATGTTGCTTCCAGAGGCAGTTTGGAACTCTGTAGGGAGTGATTTAACAGAGAATAGATGGTTTATTCAGCATTTGGCAACCTTGCTCTGTGAGTTTGCATGGTGTACCACTTTGTGACTGAGCTGTTGTTACTCCTAGATGCTTCCATTTTCAATGTTTACCTGTGGAGATTGCATGGCTATGTGCTTGATTGTGTATGTCTGTTAGCAATGGTTGTGGCTGAAATCCCTGAACTCAATAATTAGGATGGGTGTTCACATACCTTTGGCCATATATCATAGGTGTTATGTCAAATTAATATCAAAGTTGTAAAAAGCAGCCTTTTTATTACAGACAATGCCTGTATGAATAAGGCTTTATTTACTTAATTTTTTGTAGGCTTATGTAGGTGTCACGGAGCACTATGAACACTGCCCTATTGTAAAGCGTTACTGAATTTGTTACTAAACATCAGCTTGGTCACACAAGAAAGAAAACTATTCTCGATAGATCCTAACAGTGTGTTACATGCATACAACACCCCACACTATCTCAAAAGATAGTGTTATTTTAAGGCAGTGGTTCTCAACTCTGGTCCTGGAGTACACTTGTCCTGCACATTTTAGTTGTTTTCTGCTCTGACACACTCAAAAAGTGCTTGTTAAATAGCTAATTAGCAGGAGAAGATGTGTTAGAGCAGAGAAAACAGCAAAATTTGCAGGACAAGGATTAGAAATTACAGTTTTAATGATATTGGATTCTCCACTGCTTGGTTTAGGTCCAGCGATGCTAGGCATAGTGACACAGTGGTTCTCTGGTGCAGAACAACTGTGCTCTGCAGCTGTCTATGTGTGGTAGCTAGGGGGTTGGAGTGGACCCTGCCTGGCCCTGCAACTCCTCTGTCCAGCTCCAATGTCACTGCCACTGTCTCCTCGGCCTAGTGAGTCTGCCGGCGGCCTCTAGTGCCTCAGCAGAGGCAGAGAGAAGAGAGGGAGAGCGGGAAAATGGGCAGTGCATTACGTAAAAAGGGACGGGTCGCGTCCTCCGTGGTATAAAAAGCAGCACAATTAGCCTGTCAGTCATCAGGGCAGATGTCTCGCAGGGGGTTCAGGACAGATCAGCCTGAGGGAGATGGAGCCATAGCGCGTGCGTGTGTATGAGTGAGTGAGTGTTTGCCTAGTGACTAACAGAGCATGCCTTTGTGTTTGGGTGGAGGAGGTGACGAGATCACATGGAACTGTGTGGTTAGGATGTTAAGCAAAACCCATTTTATCGTAATGTAGTAAAGAGAATTAGGTGTGCTGATACTAGGAGCTTTTTTTACCTCAGGAATGTGTGAAATGCAGCGTTGCCCAGTGAAGGCGCCACATTAACACAGTATTTAGCAACTCAGTACAAAGCAGCATGTGCTGTTTCTCTTCCCTTATCTTCTTTTCATGCTTCTTTCTCAGATGTATGGTGACTCACGGCCTGTCTGTGAGTCACTGGCGCTGTCGTTCGTTAGATGTGGTTCAGAGAGAACCCCTAATTGTCCTCCATATTTAAATGGCACAGTCGGACAACTCCTTGGGCTTTAAAAGGCTTTATAAGTGGCACGAGGTTGGGTCCAATTATAAGAGAAAAGGGGGAGAAAAAAAGAGGAAAGTTCTGAGGGCCTTGGGAAAGACTTTGTTGCCATGGCGCCACCCACTTTCTTCTTGTGGTCTTAACGAGTTGTCTTAAGCTGATGTAAAGGAGCATTTTGGCTGATACTGTGATGACACATCTTAATTAGCGACTAAATACTGACATGCTAATCAGACAGCACGGCTAATCCCACCAACATGGAAATGTCCTTTCGGTATTTATAACTCTTCCTCTGCTGTGCCTGGTTAGTTACGGGAGAATATCCTCAGCAGCGTGAGGTCAGCTATGTTCCTGTGTCAAATTAGCAGCCGTCTCACTGGACGTTTATACTGGCCGACCTGAGTGGACACTGACTTGATCGGTGTTGCTCATGAAGCCTTCTTCTCTCCTGTAAGCTGTATTACCCTCCCTATGTGAGGGGATTTGATTAGCATTTCTTGGAAAGAGACCCATCAGTGTCTTCTTCTGTGTATTTACTCACATTCCTGTACACTAGAGGGCAATTTACATACAGTTCCATGCAAGAAAGGCCCTGTTTATTGAGTGTGAATTAATTTGTATCTCTGTAGCTTTTTTTCACATCTCTGTCCCACTCTGCCTGTTTTATTTCTCTGAATATACTCTTCTTTCTGCCCTCAGGTAACAACAAAGCACAAGAAGAAGGACGAAATCATCGCTCAAGGTAAGGCATGTTCACGTAGGCCACTCAACCTTGCTGTTTATCGTCACTGTCCAAAAAAAGCCAAAAAAACAAATATGTTTGTTTTTTCCCATTTCATATTTCTACATCATTTGAGCATCATCATCAGTTGCCCTTTGCATTGCCTGAGAATTTCATGATGAATGGACCAATAGAAATGCTACACAATTGCTTGGAATAAAATCTCTTTGCATTAACTTACATTAAAATTGAGAACGTTTTTGCCTTCTCCTGTAAAGTTGCCATTTTGGAGATAATTGTTTTTCTTTGGACAGCGATGATATTAGGGGTGCGGGAAAAATCGATTCTTAGATGCATCGCGATGCGGGCGTGAACGATTCTGAATCGATTCACAAATGTCAAAAATCGATTTTCTAAATATTTAATTCATAACGTAATGTTGGCGGAACGCAAAAGGCGGAACTTGGAAGTGCGGAAGTGCAGAGCCCGGACAGTCTGTGGCGGCACATAACAAAAACGCAAGTGGAAGAGCGAGAAATCTGACCGGCTCCCTCTGCATTAAAAGCCAGGTTAGATCAGGAGTCACAGCACAAGTGTTAGCATTTTGTCCTTTCAACAAAAATCAAACCACCTTGGGAGCCACAACATTTAATGTCCAGTATGTGTTAGTATGTGATAATGTCCTAGTATAGGTTAAACAGTTTAAATGAGAGCACAGATTTACTTTGCTCTGCTTTAAGCTTCAGCTATAGCCACTTTCCTCCCATCTCCGCCAGAAAACTTTTCTTCAGAAGTAGATCAGTTTCTTGTAAAATGTCTCTCAACGACTGTTTTCCAAGGCTGAAGTCGCTTCTTATTCTCCAGCTTCTTGTTCGAATTTACCCGTTCCACCTTAAATTCTAACTGAGGCGCCAAATGTAAATGCGGCACCATTTAAGGTGGAACGGTAGAATTCGAAAAAGAAGCGACTTCATCTTCGCCACTTTTTAGTGTTTGACAATCTCTCGTTGCAGATTTAACGTACCAGGAAACCAACTGCGGTGCTTATAAATGCGAACAATGCATCGTTGCTAGGTGACCTGCAGTCTGCATGCCGGTTCTCAGTCGTTGCGAAACAGGGCTTTCGCGCTATGTTGCACGCCCCGAAGATATTTTACTGACACAACGAGACCAAAACCGAAGTTATAAAATCACTAAAGAAAACAGGTAGAATAGCTGTAACTGCTGCGTGGACATCCATCACCACTGGATCTTATTTCACCGTAACTGCGCATTTTATCGCAGATGAGTATCAGGAGCTTCTCGTGCTCCAAACAAGAGCACTGAATGAGAGCCTTCTAGTTCACTTGCCACATCACTTCCATTTGTTTTTATTAAAAAAGATATTGGAAGTAAATTCATTATGGATCATTACAAATACTTTGCTTTAAAAGTACTAAGTCACTTTAAATAACAATAACACCGAGTCACTTAGTCACTTTAAAATGTGTATTGTCTCTATATTCTGTGTATATTTTATGTATGTTTTGTGTATATTTAATATATTTCAGTCGGTTTTTCTTGTATTTTTATTTTGACTTATTTACTTTCTGTAGAGTGATTAGCTGAGCCTCACCACAAGCATTTCAATGCATAAATGTCCTGACATGTTGTGCAAATGACAAATACACTTGAAACTTAAACTCGAAACTTAAGCTCACACAGTGAGAAAATATAAATGCTATATAGAAAAAAAAGATGCATCGAGATGCATCGATAATCGTTTTATAATCGCATCGTAGCCCTCTGAATCGTAATCGAATCGAATCGTGAGGTGCCTAGAAATTCCCACCCCTAGACGATATGTTCTCGTATTTCAGCACCAGATACATGTTATGTAATATCAGTCCGCAGCATGCCCTCACACAGCTTATTCATACTCTAATAGAAGCAAGTGGAGTCATATGATGATCTAATTTCAATGAAAATCAAATTGAAATGCAACTGGTAAACACAGGCTCTTTTTTTGTAACAGAACCCCACCATCTATCAAGTGGATATTTTGAAAGTCTGTTTCATTGTCTGCGCGACTCCTCTGTAACAGTGTGCCAATCGGAATGGAAGTGAATGTGAATGAACATGAAGACGTATGATAATTCGCCGCACTGCTTTCTCTCTACCCCCGTCATTGTTGAGCCGTCAGCGCAGCGATGCTAATAGCTGCTTTAATGGGATATGATGGCTGGCTGAGTGCTCTGCTATCACCATTTCACTTTTTCCACCATCTTTATCTCTCTCTTTCTCTCGCCTAGTCTTTCTCTTTTTTAATAGCATTACACAAACAGACAGACACCCACCCACACGGGCACACAAACACACACAGACGCACACACATGCACACACGCACACACACACACACACACACGCTATCGTCTCCATCTCTCTGATCGTGACTCTGCACTCACCCCTCATCACGACAGGCCAATTACATGCTTTCCTAGGGAGCCTAGTGTGTTGCTTAGTAACACCTGGAGTGAGCTAAATGAAGTGGGCTTTGCAATGGCTTCACTGGAACATCTATATCTCTTCTTATCAGGCTCGACCCTCCCCCTGCACATTCACACATTACCTATCAGTTTTGGTTTCTTTTGTGGAGTTCTTTTAAGCATTAGGAATCTGCAGTACTCATTCCCTTTGGAATGTTGTCTTTGCAAGAATCCCAATGGTTAGGTCAGCTGCCTTGCAACTGTAGTGGGTACCATGGGAACATGACCTTGTACAGAAGGGATGCAGTTTCTAAAGTCCCTTCCTGCTGAGCACTGCTGCTGTCCCTTTGACCAGTGTGCTTAATACGAACTTATTCCAGGGGTGAAACTCCTGCCACTCTTTTCCCCATCCCCTGCGGCATGCTTCTAAATGAGACTACCATCTCAATGCACCTTCCCTGGATAGTAAAATTCTCTTACTCTGAGTAAAGGTCATCCTGCACCTAAGTCTAGGAGCGAAATTCAAGCCTTAACTGTTCTAATAGCCTGCCAAAGTGACCTTGGATAATGTGGTACAGCAACTTCCAGCATCACCCCAGACTTATAATGCAGAAGGTGAGAATTGTCAAAGGCATGAAGAAATAAAGATTATAGGTGTAAGATGTAAGATGTTTGCTAGTTGCTGTTAACCCTTAAAAGTCTAGAGTCATTGTCATTTTGCTGTTCTACATAATTACAATGATTTGGAAACCTTACGTACTTTACCTTACATACTACCTTAAATACTGACCAGCATGAACCAAAGTTCAACAACGTGAGTTTGTTTTTGTGTTAGCCAGCAATAATGCTCCAGAGATTTTTCAACTTTCTAAGATAACTAAGAGTGCAGAGGGAAACTTGATTGAAGATAGTCACCCTCTCTGTAGAACATTCGGTGCAAAAGGGGGCGACACTTCCAGCCTTGTATTAACCTAATTTAAAAAGCCTACCAGCATTAAAACTACGAAGATAGAATCAGCTTTTTATTTGCCAGCTTCTTGTTAGAATTTTCTCTTTCCATCTTAAATGGTGTTACGGTTATTATAGCACCTGAGGTGCCAGAATGCAACTGCTGCACCATTTAAGATGGTACATTAAAAATTAAAACATGAAGCTGGCAAATAGGAAGCCAACTTCAGCCTCGTGTTAAAACTGCAGATAGGATAGTTTGATAGTCTAAATGTCCTTATCAGAAAATCTTACAAGCATTGAAAGAATAATTAGGAAATTTTGATAGCTTAAAGCTTATCGGAGGGAAAGTAGTAATATTACTGAATTAACATAAAAAAACAATAAAACGTTTGAAGACTCTAATGTATGAAGCAATTGAACCTCTCATGGCCACATGGTACCACCTTTTATGTATTGCGCATTTGATATGGTTTTCATATATTTACATTGACTGTATATGTAATGGCTATATAATTATTTTAATGTTGTTTTGCACAGAAAAAGTGCATAGTGCTGCTAATTGTATGTGTAGTTTTCAATATAAAAATTAGTGAGAAGATTTCAGTTTGTATATCAGTAGTTTTTGAACATTTCCAGCACATTTTAACAATAGTGTGATAATATTGATAACCATGATAATTGTGCTGATTATAATCATAATATTACGTTTTCATATTGTTTCATATCTAGATGGAAGAGTTAAAGTGGCAGTAGCTGCACAAAAGTAAAAAGTGGACAAATTAAATACTGATTTGATATTATATTTAATGGTGGCTTCTTTGTAATTTTCTGTTAAATATGTGTTTCCTGCTTTTTTCTGGGACTGAATTATGAATAACTTGTACTTAATAACCTTTTTTTTACTCATATTTTCTCCACAGTTTTGGTCAGACTAGCTAGGTCTTCCCATCAGGCATACCAATGCTATCAATCACACCAATCTGCCCACTCAGAAAGACAGAGGCCAATTATGCTGTCTTGGGCTCCCGGCTATAGATGGCTGTGGTATCACCAGTAATCAAACTCTCTGTTCGGATGATCTCTGAGTTTTGAACAGAACTTTATGTATTTACATAATTAACTGTATGTGAACATAATGGATTACATTCACATTTGATTTACATTCTGTATCACCAGTCTGCACTTGTTTTGAAACCAAGATTTAACAAAAACTTGGCAGAAAATGTAAAGTGATGTTTATTACAACATTAACTTTTCATCAAATTCAAATCAAAATACAATACACAAATGTGCTACCAATTTAAACTTTCAACCGATTGTCTGTGCTTTCTTCAGCAGGCTATGTAAAAAGTCAGAATCAGGTGTACACTGTAACACTGTGTTATGTGTAAATAGAGACTGTTGAGTTGACCCACATCTCTGCCTCGTGAGCCACTGTTTCTCACACAGCTCAGGTCAGGGTGGCATGGACACACCTCAGGCTGTGTCATAACACTCTTTGTGACAGGGCACGTTTACACAGATCAAACCTGATGCTACAATTTAGTTGATGGAGATGCCTGAAATAGAGCTCATCATCACGACTCCATACAGTTTAGAGCCGGGCTGTCACAGCTCCAGTCCTGCAGGGCTACAGCAATTCACAGATCGGTGTTTTGCTCTGACACACCTGATTCCACTCATGAAGTGCCTGGTAATTAGCTGATGAGTTGAACCAGGTGTGTTACGTCAGAGAACACACTAGACTACACTACACACTCATTAATTTTCAGAGCTCCAGAATTAGAGTCTGACACCCCTGGTTTACTGTTTTGTCTGATTTAACACTCTTGATCCAGCTCATCAGGTAATTGTCAAAGCCATTCATGAGTTGGTGTAAGTGTGTTGGAACAAGAAACACACAAAGGTAAGGCATTATGTGGCCTTCCAGGTCTTAAATGGGAATTTCATGGATTGTTCAAAGTTTCTACATAATTTGGCCTTTGAAATGTTAACAAATGTTGGCTCAGATTTCTTTACAGTGGTGGTGATAGGAACCAGGGTCTGTAATGTCTGCAATACAAATGTAGCCATTTTGCTTGCTATCCAAAATAACCAATAATATTGACCTGTTAAATCTGAAAAAATAGGTTTTCTTTGGGTATTATTTTGCCTTACAATGCCCTGCATGTACCTCTATGTGATGAATATATTTTTAATACATTTTAGGCCAAACCTCATCTCAAAACTATCATGAAACAGTGTCAGTCATCAGGTAACTTATTCATAACTATTTTTGTAAAATCTTTCTGTGAGATCTTTCTGTGAGAGCTTTTAGAGATGCTTATCACTTCAGACGTCTGGTTCCTGCCACTGAATAGACTGACAGATTCTGACTTAACCTCCTCAACTCCTTGAGACCACTGGTGGTTCCAAAACGCACGTCGTCATATTCTTCATAACTTTCATATTTCATAAGCTACATTCAAAAAGTGGGTGTTGAATGAGAGCTGTAACTGTCTACTTTCTAGTCAAAGAGAGGGCTAATGTAATTTTAAAACCTTATAATACAAGAAGCTGAACTCACTTTTTTGTCTACTGAAAGTCGACCCATTTTTCCACAAATCTGGGCTATAAACTATAAACAGATGGCGTCTCTTCAGTGATCTGCTCTGTAAAAATTATTTCTATAAAAAAATACAAAGAGTGTCTAGGATTTTTGGCTTTCAACAGTAAATTGTAAGCATATAGCAATATCTGTATGATCATAAAACACATGTTCTGTTAATTTTGAGGGGAGCTTTTACAAAAAAATAAACAAATCAAATAGAAATTTACATTTATTTCATGCAGTTACTGAATAATTTGCCTCACGATTTGGTCTTGTAAATTCAGATGGACAAACCAAAATATCCCCTGAAGAAGTTTCTCTAGCATTTCACATCACTTTGAATGTCTTTGTTGGCATTTTAATGATTGAATGGTTCAGACATTTTGCAAAATCAAGGGAAGTTCAACACCTCTGCTTCATAATGATGCTCTGCCATATCTGAAACAGCTGTGTTCAGTATTATCGTACTTGCATTATAAGCTAATAATTAGTTGCATGTATCATTTCTACTCTAATACTAGGTTAATCATCCAATTGTTTTAATGACATTGCCAGGTAAGGATTATGCCTGTGTCCTGAGATAATTCTTGTCGTCTTTAGCCAACTCTTCCACAAATGTTGTGCTTCATATCTGAGCAGAACACAAAGTTGATGCTCCCGCATTCCAGGATGACAACTGTAGGGTGTCTGTATGTGACTGGTTCAACAGACATGATGGAACACTGAAACACTGACTGGCCAGACCTCAGTCCCAACTCTCAATTTGGAACAGCAGGTGAAATGCTGACATATGCCCAAACTCTGGTTGAAAGGTTTACCCACTCAGTGGAAGAGCAGGCTAGAATGGACAGGAACTCTCAAGAGACTGGTATAATCCTTACCTGACAGGATTGGTGCTGTTATTAAAGCAAGCGGATTCGTTTCCAAGTAATAGAAAATAAATTATGCATGTGACTAATGTTTTGTCCAGGGAGCTTATTTTAAACATATTTCTGCAGTTTGTATTATTCCTGTATTCAGACTGGACTATGTAACTCCTGTGACTAAGCAGTATACCTGAGTTATTATGGAAACTAGGCATAGGGTGTCCAGGGGTGCCATTTAGCACAATTTCTATTTATTATTTTGGCCGATGTGTGTCATTGACATCGTCCTTTGCAAGCATGCACTGGTGGAGATCAGGGTGACCCCTGGAGCGACTTGGCATCAGGCACCTTGCTCAAGGACAGCAGTGGTCAGAGGTCAGAATCCCGGTCTCTGAGTCAGAAAGCCTTTGGGTACCTTTACGTTACATGCCTTATTGCTCAGTTCCGATTATTATTATTTTTTTTGAATTTTTGATCTTTTCACCTTCCCTGTTCACAGCTGAATTTGTAGGTGACCCATATCTGTCATTAGTGTTACACTCCCCTGCCCTGAAAGGACCTACATGCACTCATTTTATCATCCCTGCTGACATGCTGCTGGCAGTGGATTATGACAGTGATATGTGATGTGAAAACAAACACAAAAAAAAATCACATATGACTGTTCTCATTACATCATTTCTGATTGCTATGTATCCAATCTGAGACCACATATTAAAATAGCTGAAGTCTCATTTAAAAAGATTAGATTTTAATGTCCCCACAGCTCTGTACAAATCAGCATAAAATCGGAAATATGCCATTTCAACCCTGTAATGTGAACGTAACGTTGGAGTCCACTGTATTTTACTTTCTCATGTAGAACTCATAAAACCACTCAGAGATTTTATGAGTTCTACATAGAGATCACAGTTAAGATCTCTGTGGCTCTACCCAGCACATTTGTGTTTCTCAGATGCTGAGTCGTTGCCAGTTCCTGACACAGAGAAAGAGAAAGCAGAAGAAAAGGAGAGAGTGCAGACAACTAAAAAGTCGAGTCCTGCCCCGCTGCAGTCCCAGGAGGTGTTTGTGCCGGAAAAGGCCATGCTCCAGGAAACCTGGGTCCACCTGCAGGACTTTCCTAAGTGCTTCCAGTGAGAGTCATTCAGAGAAACATATATTACTTACACTAGGTGATAGCAAATCCCAGGGCAGTCTGTCGGGTCATGTGTGTCATGTTATGTTCATTTGATGTTTTTGTGTGTATTTAAAGGACACTGCTTGTTTTTCACAAGCCAGACGCGTATGCTCATCACTTTCAGAAGTCACAGTTTAAGGTAAAGTTAATTATTGGTCAATGGAGCAGTTATAATGTTGCAGTTATGTTATTAAGTTGTGTTAAAATGAGACCAGAAGTGGCACTGCTTTTGGGGCAGTGCAGGGACATTTTTGAAGTGTTCTTTCTTCACCATATTTTAAAAGAGTTCTACCTGACACTAGCTGGACAATCTGAAGGAGTCTTAGATGGTTTCTGCTTGGACATTTTCTTTCAGTTGTGCCAAAAATAGCCATTTTAATGCATCTGTTTTCTTGCTAGAGCACCATTGCGTCTAGAGCGTCTGCCACTGCTCTGCCAAACACAGTAGGCTCGACCAACTTTGCAGCCTCAGGGAAACTGCCTGACGCTTCTGGAGCTACACAAATGCAGGTACAATGTACATGTACACAAATATGAGAGGCCTTTTAGGTTATATTTCTTGATGTCTCTCACACACATACTATCAGCCCCTCATATGCATATGAATGAGACACATGACACATCAACATCATCACTTTTATGTATATAGCGCCTTTCCCATGCTCAAAGATGCTTTACAATCAGAAACATTTTCCTCTAGGTTCATGGACTTAGTGCAAGTATTGGTCATGTTGGTGTGTCTGAGAGGTTGTGTAGTGCGTGAGATGTCAAGTTTGCCATATGGCCTAAAGGGTCTTTCATAAACTAGTGCACACATTCACACATGCAGACATTTTCACATGCCCTCATATGCACAAAATGTTGACACACATTGACACACTATCAGACACTGGCCCACATATGAAGTGCACACATAAACTGCAGGGTGATTGCTTGGTGGTGGTGCATTGTTTATTATCTTAATGTTGTTTTTGCTCACCTCTCCCTGTTGTGCTGCAATATTGGTGAGCTGTGCTGTTTTATCATAGTCCTCAGAGAGTACTGTAGTTTGATTTAATCTTGGGTAATTACAGTGTAAGTCTGTTTCTGTGTGGTTTTACTGTGTGTGTGTGTGTGTGTGTGTGTGTGTGGACAATAGACCTTGTAATCTTAAGGGACACATCCAAAGACAAAACACATTAATATTTACAGTTTCTATCCCAAAGGACAAAGAAGTTTATCTCTCTCTCTTTCTCAGTTTCTCTTTATTTCGCTGCCTCTCTCTAAGGGTCCGGATGAGAAGGGCTGTCACTTTCTGCTTGTGGATAGCCTGTTACCTACAGAGATTTTCATCTGTTTCTCAGCACTGGTACACTGGGGAGACACCATGAATGAGAGTAAGGCACAGAAACACATTTGCACACATGAAGGTCCATGTTAGAGCCTTAACTGGGCCTGAAATTTGGTCAGACAATTTGCTCATTGTAGCTTTATATATATATATATAATATTTTGCTAAACACATGAAATATTAGCACCCTTTTGGCTGCACTAAACTGCTAAACAGACTCCAGCATGCCACATTAAAAATGTTTTGAGGTAATGAAAGCAATGTAAAAAAAGTAGAATGAAGTAAGGAGAAAACTAAAAAAGGGGAAAATGCATGGTAAAATCTGTTGGAAGTGAGAGATGGGCAGTGAGAAACAGAATGAAATTTGAACCCAACCCCATCCTGACTAATATTTTACAAATGTTGTGAGCACACAGATTTTTCAAGTTCTAGTCTAACTGTGCATCACATATTTAGGGATATCCAAAAGTGTGAGTGGGTGTTTGAAGTAGTGGACGATATGGCAAAAATATCGTATAAGATATTTGCATGCTACATGTATCACATTATTTTGACACACAGATACAAAATTGTGGGCAGAATGGTATTCATTCAGCATTTCATGTACTGCATTGCATTAAATTCAATTAAACATGCTAATTATACTCTCTTTATAATGAAACATGCAGTTGGTCAATGTTCTTCAAGTACTGACAATATCCACTATATGCTCAGAAAAGCGTGTTTATGACAGTATAACAAAATTGACGGAACTGATAAAATATCGTCAAATTGACCACTTCTATGTGTTTGTGTGTGTATAGACAAGGAGTGTGTATCCAGGCCTGGGATTCTGACGGCTGAACCTTTCTCCTGGAAGAGCATTGAAGCCCAGTTTCCTGAGATTCATATCCAGACCACCGCCTGCAAAGCAGAGCTTCTTTCTCTGCCACCAGGGTAATACAGCCCATCATCATAATCTGTGGTCATGATCATTATGATAACTCTAACCATAACATTCGCAGTCATAATCATTAAAAAACTGCAAGCACACTTTAACAAGTCTTCCCATCAGTGGGGTAATAGAGCATGTAACCGTATAGCCGTATTCAAATCCATAACCACAACAATTATTATAATGAAAACCATATCCGTATATAGAACCCTAAGTAAAGATCATGATCATAACTCTAAGTATAACAGTCACACCGTAATAGAAACAGCTAGGCAGATTTCAACACTTCTCTCCCTAGACTGGAATAATACAGCACATAACTATAACTTTACCATAATCCTTCACCATAACAGTCACTTCCATAACCATAACAATGATCACAACCAAACTTATGCCCTAACTATGATCATACCCCTAACCATAAATTATGTATAACCATGATCAAAACAGTAACCACAATTCACCATAACAGTAGCTGTCACACCACAGCCATATGAACACCAGTAAAGTATGCATACTGATCAGTACCTGCAAAGTGGCAGGTCTTGTTTATTGAAACTCCTATGTTACACTGACAAAATTGGTGCATTTACTTTTACTTAAAATGCATACATTATCTTACATTAACACATTACGTTTTGTTTTTCAGTTTACGTACCTTTCCAAAAATGTGATATAGTTTATTCATGTGAAAATTATGTACACATTTGACTGAAGGACAGCTTGCTAACTCTGCATACGCTTGCTGTAGGTTCTGTTCCTGTTAACGAAACCAGGAAGAACCCCACAGAGAGAGAGAGAGAGTGAGAGAAAGAAAGAAAGAGAGAGAGAGATGACCCAATCTGCTATTTCTAGCACTGTAGTGGCCTAAAAGCAGGGGGCCTACATTCAGAGGTTGCATGCTGGGAACAGGCGGATTTATCAGGAGGCGATATAAAGTTGAGGGGGAGGGGGGAAGAGTGGTTGACTGCTGGCCTGCTGACTGCTGACATGACTTTTGCCTCCCTACGTGAGGACAAGGAAAACCAAAATGCAGTTTTTATTAGCTAATCTTGGCTCTATGCCAACCATGTTCCTGCCAGTTATGCTGTATTTCAAGGGTGTTTCCTTGTTATGATCCCATCTCTAACTTTGTAGCCTTTCCTCTCTTTCCTTATTTTTCTCTGTGCACTTTGAAGTTCTGTGGATGCTTGAGCAGTTGCTAGACTGGGCAGGATCACAAGGGAAAATATGCACAGTGCATCTTCTCTGCTGATCTGGCAACCCCTGCCAACATCATGAACCTCTGTTTTATTTTAATTTTTTTTGCTGTAGCTTCACAGTGGGTGAGCTACAACTGTAGTTCAAGCAACAGGCCAACCATATACAGAAAAAAAAAATGTAAAATAGTCCTGCACATATTTACTAATATCTATCTATCTATCTATCTATCTATCTATCTATCTATCTGTAGTTATAGTATCTAAAGTCAAGTTCATCAAACATCAACTCTTTTCTGGACTGTATTGGATTCATGTCACCTATTAACATGAATATAAGCCCATTCTTAATTATGAAGACTGTTAGGGAGGAAAGCTTCTACTGTAACTGTAATATTATTATTGATCATTAAGCTCATTTGTCAGTTATGTAGAGGAGTGTGTATATTTATGTTGGTTAAACGGATCAATGTAGACTACACAGTTTTTTTGTGATTAGCTAATGCCATATTTTCCATGTCCACAGTTGACTCATACTCTACAGTACTGTGCAAATAGCAGAGACCACCCTTTTTTATTTATTTAATATTCAGTCAAAATGTAGTACAAGTAATTAAATTTTCACCATCAGCAAAAAAACAGAAAACAACAGCCCGAACAACTAAATCTAATCTTTTTTAGTATTTAATATGTCCACCCTTTGCCTTTCATTTAGGAGAAGTGCATTCAGTTTTTCAAAGAAATATGCAGGGACATTTTTCCATATCTCCACAGTCGAGTCTTAGAAGTTCTGCTTCTCACAATCCAAGTAATGGCAATTACAAATTTAGACTTAGTCCACCATGTAATCTTCTCAGAAATATCTCCTTTAGCATTTTAGATGCACACAGAGAAATACATTTACAAAGCAGTGTGTGTTTGGGTAAGTGCGTGTGTGAATGTTAATGTCTCTTTGAAGGGGAACATAATGTCAGTGACACCTTTGGGAACAGCTTTTGTCGGGAGGGTTTAAGATTGGGAAGATGGAGAGTTAAAATTGTAGTAAGGTGCTTTTTTCTGACACTAAAATATTAATAAATTGTACTTACCATTACATTAACTCACCATTAGAAATGAAATAAAAGGCATTTGCACAGTACTGTTTGTTCCGTCCAAATAAGCATTCTGTTTTTTCACCATTTCACCACCACTTCCCTTTAACAGATAATTTTAAATTCTGTTAAGCTGTGCTGTTATCACAGAATCTGTGCTTTGTGAGCTTGATGTGTTTTATGGCTAAATAGGACAAAACAGAGTAACTGAGCTGTGTGTCATACATGAGGCTCATACATGACTTGTACATTACAAGATGGTACATTAATCCTTTTCAATTTTATTTATTTCCTCCTTTTTGGAATTGTTTCAGACTGTTAATGTTAAGCTGTGGTTCTTTTGAAGAGTGCTCTGTACAGCAGCAATCCAGGACAGAAGCACAAAAGACATTTGGCTAGCTTTTAGTGGTTGATTAGATTATATTTCAATTTAGTATGATTTGTGTAACGTCTGAAACAGTATGATTTAATATTAAATATTAAAGAACCATCTGAATCCTCATCTCTCTCTCTCTCTCTCTTCTCTCTCTCTCTCTCTCTCTCTCTCTTGCTCTGTCACTCGCACCAGACGTCACCTTTTTTGTATCCACACGAGGGCACTGTTAGGTTTCCACCTACAGCTATACAGCATGACCTCTTTCGTGTTTGGTGAAGAGGACGTAGTGATGCCCCACCTTGATAAGGTATCCATATGTGCTCTAGTTGAGATGTATTAGAAATTCTAATATAACATATACCATATTCTTCCATCCAGTGGGACAGTCTGTATTATATATCGCCCTTATGCCTATTTAAGTTGTGCTCACAGAGGCATGTTTAATGATTATTCGATTACACTTAAGTAACTTAACATTACTTGATTAAAATTATTTTGAATGAGATTTGCCCTCTTGAAGTGGCAGTAATCAGATGAGATATATTTTAAACTGTCCTGTTTCTACTTATTAAGTGTTTTGTAATCCTTGAAATGCTATGCATGGTTTGTTATTGTTCAGTCCATTGTTGTTGCTTGACCATTTCTGTATGAACTCAGTTACACACCAGTATAATCAGAACATTACCCAGTTACAAATATTGATAAAGACAGTTCTACTGAACTTCTTATAACTTCAGAGTTAGCCATTTGAATTGTCTTTCACTCTCTCTTTCTCCTCCTTTTTCTCTCTTCCTCTCTGTAGGAGAGTTTGAGATTCTGTGAGCAGGCTCTATTGATTCTTAAAGTTCTAGGTGGAGTGGTCAGCTCTTTCTCTGACCCACAAGAACTGCCATCAGCCACCAGGGCGCTGGAGGAGGCCATCTGCCTGCCATCACACAGCAAAGTGGCAAACAGAGAGCACTGGAGGGTGTGTGACACTACAAACACACACACAACCACACTCACACACACACTCATACACACACACACATATATATATACATATATATATAAGAAGGAAACCCCAAATTGTTGAGCAGCTGAAATCCTATACCAAGCAAGAATGGGTAAATATTTCACTTTCAAAACTGTAGCAGTCGGTCTCCTCAGTTCCCAAATGCTTACAGAGTGCTGTTAAAAGAAGAGGTGATGCAACACCGTTGTAAACATGCCCCTGTTCCAACTTTTTTGAAATGTGTTGCTGGCATTAAATTCAAAATGGGCATATATTAAAAAAAACAATACATTTTCTCATTTTCAACATTTAATATCTTGAACTATTTTCAATTAAACATAGGGTTTACATGATTTGCACATCATTGCATTCCGCTAACATTTTGCACAGCATCCCAACCTTTTTGGAAACAGGGTTGTGTAAATATAAAATTACAAACGTTTATGTAATTACACAACACAAGTGTTTACTTCCTCCCCACCCCACATCCCCCAAGCCAAGTATGACTCTCCACAATCATAACTGGTAAATTGCTGTTACGTAATTAGTTAAATGGAGATCACCTGTTTGCAGTCAATGGGGTTCCAAGTGATTGTAGCATAAATACACCTGTACCTGGAAGGTCTCATGTCTAATAAGTCAGTATCATTGCATAAGCCACACCACGAGGAGAAATGAACTAAGCGACATGGTGATTGAAACACACAAGTCAGGGAATGGATACAAATATATTTCCCAGTCACTGTATATTCCTTGGAGTACCGTTAAATCAACCATCAAGAAATGGAAGGAGTATGGCACAGCTGTAAATCCGCCAAGAACAGGCTGTCCACAAGAGCTGCAAGAGTGACCGTGCAAAAAGGAAACTAGTGAGCGAGGCCACCAAGAGACCTCTGAAAGAGTTACAAACCTCAGTGGCTGAGAATGTAGAGATGGGTACTTCACCAGTCACAGCTTCAGGGGTGAGTGGCAAAAAAAAAAGCCACTGTTAAATAAAACTCACATGACCTCTTGGCTAGAATTTGCCAGAAGGCGCTTGGAAGACTCTGAAGGTAGCTAGAAGAAGGGTCTATTGTCTGATGAGGCCAAAATTGAGCTTTTTGGCCATCAGACAGATTGCATGTCATTATTATCCTGAACACAGCATCCTCACCGTGAAGCATGGTGATTGCAGCACCATGCTGTGGGGATGCTTCTCTGCAGCAGACCCTGGAAGGCTTGTGAGTGTAGAGGGTAGAATGAATGCAGCAAAATAAACTCCTGGAGGAAAACCTTTTGCAGTCTTCAAGACTTGTCTTCAAGCACAGCAATGACCCCAAACATACAGTCAAAGCTACACAGGAATGGCTTAAAAACAGCAATCTTAATGTCCTGGAGTCCATATCTCAGTCCAGGAGAGAATTTGTGGCTGAACTTGAAAAAGGCTGTTCACTCACAAAGCACATGCAACCTGACAGAGCTTGAGAGTTTTGCAAAGAGGACTAGGGCAAAATTGTAGTGTCCCAATGTACACAGTTGATAGGGACCTATACACACAGACTGTGATTGCTGCCAAAGGTGCATCAACTAAATACAGACTTGACAGGTGATGCTTATACAATGTTTATGCAGTCACATCCTTTGTTTTTCCATATTTGTAATTTATTTAAAACATTTTGCAAAGATTTGTTTTCACTTTGAGAATAGAGAGTCTGTATCAGTGTCAAACACTGTTATTCAATGTTCCATGAAAATGAAACATGAAAACTTCCAAGGCACTGGAATTTTTTGTTTTATAGGCAGTGTATCTACAGTACTATGCCAAAGTCTTAGGCACCTGAGAAATTAAATTTAAAAACTTACTTATCTGGGCAGCAAAAATAATTTATTTCATCTGAAAAAAACCCATTAATATTAGAATAAATACAAATTACATTAATATGATAAGTCATTTATAAAAATGATTTTATATGTGTGTATGTGCTTACCCATTTCAAAACCTCTCCTTGATGAAGCCCAGTATTATTTGTAGTTAGTTGTGGTTTGGCTCAATCAAAGCTTCATTAAATGAAATTAAGTTAGGTGTGCCGGTGATGGAATTTAACAAATCCAGAAGATGGCTTGAGAAAATCAAGGGAAATTCTGGAACCAAACCTTGGTTCTCCTAATCTTCTAGCTAGCTCAAAAGATATCAAGTACTTTTTGTAAACAAAATGTTCTTTTTACTTCTTACTGCATTCGTGTTTGTTTGCATTTATTCTGATGTTACAAGGTATTTTTATAAGCAAAAGCACTTATTGCCTTGATGATTGGTTTTAAACAATTCTCTCATGCATGCACGTACATGCTCACATAAACACAGACACACACACTCTTAAATACACAGACACACAGTGTGTCAGGGGGTTTTATTGTTGTTTGTTTTGCTCTGCAGGTTTTTAATGAAGCGGTGTGTCATATGTTCTGCTCCGTGCTGGGGCGTAAGTTAACCTCTGAAGAGATGTTTGCAGTGCAGGCCCTGACTAGAGACCCTGCGCTCAATTGCAGCAGCACAAAGGACACACAAGACACGCTTTCAAGTATGTGTGTGTGTGTGTGTGTTTATCAAGGACCTCCCAGAGGAATTTAGTATTGTCCCGCTTTCCTAGCAGCCTGTGTGAGGGCTCATGTGTGCTAGTGTACTTGCATGTTTGTGTGTACATATTTGTGTGTGTTGTGTGTGTGTGTAGCAGATGGTGCTCCAGGGGGCTGGATCGGTAGGCAGGCCACAGAGCAGGAGAAGCAGGCGGCCACCATCCTGCAGGCTGGCTGGAAGGGCTACCTGGTGAGAGAAATCATCAGTGCTGCCAGACCAGGTAACACATTGCTGCCCCCTTTAACCAGCCCCCAGAGACTTAATCTAACCTGCACATTCAGCAAGACACACTCGGATGTTACAAGAGCAGACTTCGTGTAAACGAGAATACATTGTGTTCTCACTACTCCTGAACAAATGAAAAACTAGCTAGATTGTTTGAAACTTATAGAATATGGCATCATGTTAAAATTGTTTTTAAATGACTGAAAATATTGATTCCAAACTATTGTTGTATACATACACAATGATGGACTTTGAGTTGCTTGTGCATTTACGCAAGGTGTTATATGAAAAAATATCTGTAGTAAAAAATAATTAGATCGAAAATGAATAGAGAATGTCTTGGCGAGACCAGTGGTGCTCAGTGGTTAATGATTATAGGTTTGAGTCAGTTTAACGTTCGGCCAGAAAATGAGGCTCTGCTGACTGTAATTTCAGTCATTCCCGTCACCGGCTGCCAAATAGGAACCCCATTGGCCCTTAGGGCGTTTTCTGTTCCAGACCTTCTGTTCTAGGCTTTTAGATGTCTAAATGTTTCTCTTGTAACACAACTAACCCTGACGTCAGGGTTAATGGTTAATTTGATCAGAGACTGCAGAGGGTCCTCTTGGTTTCTCCTGCAGTGTGTGCTTCTGTGTGTGTGTGTTTGTGTGCGCGAGCACACGTGTGCTCAGGCCCTCCAGCTCACACTTATCAATGAAGCTGCCAATCACTCTAAGTGAGCATGACAGGCCAGAGAATAACACGCGTCTCCTTCTCCATCTTCATCTCCCCTTCCATCTGGATCTATCCCTCCCAGCATCTCTTCTTCCCCTCACTGACAAGCTGATGGATGGAAAGAGAGAGGGAGAATCAAAACAGATAGAGGAAGGAGAGGAAAAAACCTATTTAAAAATAGGAACAGATAGCACTGACAAATTAGAGGGAAGTGACAGAGAGAGAGAGAGAAAGAGAAGGAGAGGGAGGGAGGGAGCGCACAACAGAGTCTATTAATTTCAGACAGCCATAGGCAGACTTCTCATCCAGGAACCACAGTTTCAGCTCAGTGCATGTGGGAACTACACCAAGCCCTAAAATCAAGACAATTCAATCCAACCAAGCAACCAGGCTAAATGCAGTCCAATTTAAATATTTTCCCAGAATATGTCATTCATCAGTCTGAATTCATCGTTCTTGTGTAGATGAACATCACTGTTAGAATCAAGGCTTTAAATGTGTCATTCAAATGGCAGCGTGACTCATTTCATAAGCTCACAAGCAGTGCAAAGATGTCAGTGTCTTTTCGAGAGATTTCGCTTTCAAGGCACTCAGCTTGAGTCAAGTGGACGGTGACACTGCAACTTCACCATTGCTGATACTGCCATCCAGATTGTTTCTGAAAAGTACTGTGCTCAGATATTACCATAAAAAGGGAGAGAGAGAGAAAGCTCAGTTGTATTCAGTGGTTAAGTAGGAATTCCGCCAATTCTTTGAATATTTCTCCATAATTAAATCGTTAACATATGAAGAAACTTATTCAGAGTGGTTAAATGTGAATGCTCCATTCTGGAGAAATTTACCAAGTCAAAACTGTGTACCATGATGGTGATAGGCGCCTGAAGTGTTTAATGCTAAATCACAGGAAGGTATTACATGAAATAGTTGTAAATATGTTGTGCGATGAAGTCTGAGTAATTGTTTTTTACGATAGTTTTGAGATGTTTTTTTTAAGGTTTTTTAATACATTCAGGGTGGACAGATACAACCCCCAAATCAGAAAAGGATGATGGGATGATGTGGAAAATGCAAATATAAAAGCAGTGATCTCTAAAATTTACTTTGACTTGTATTTTATTGCAGATAGTATGAACAGAAGATACACTATATTGCCAAAAGTATTCGCCCGTCTGCCTTCACACGCATATGAACTTGAGTGACATCCCATTCTTAATCCATAGGGTTTAATATGATGTCGGCCCACCCTTTGCAGCTATAACAGCTTCAACTCTTCTGGGAAGGCTTTCCACAAGGTTTAGGAGTGTGTTTATGGGAATGTTTGACCATTCTTCCAAAAGTGCATTTGTGAGGTCAGACACTGATGTTGGACGAGAAGGCCTGACTCGCAGTCTCCGCTCTAATTCATCCCAAAGGTGTTCTATCGGGTTGAGGTCAGGACTCTGTGCAGGCCAGTCAAGTTCTTGCACACCAAACTCGCTCATCCATGTCTTTATGGACCTTGCTTTGTGCACTGGTGCGCAGTCATGTTGGAACAGGAAGGGGTCGTCCTCAAACTGTTCCCACAAAAGTTGGGAGCAAGAAATTGTCCAAAATCTCTTGGTCTGCTGAAGCATTAAGAGTTCCTTTCACTGGAACTAAGGGGCCAAGCCCAACTCCTGAAAAACAACCCCACACCATAATCCCCCCTCCACCAAACTTTACACTTGGCACAATGCAGTCAGACAAGTACCGTTCTCCTGGCAACCGCCAAACCCAGACTCGTCCACTGGATTTCCATGGAGAAGCGTGATTCGTCACTCCAGAGAACACGTCTCCACTGCTCTAGAGTCCAGTGGCGGCGCTTTACACCACTGCATTCGACGCTTTGCATTGCGCTTGGTGACGTAAGACTTGGATGCAGCTGCTCGGCCGTGGAAACCCATTCCATGAAGCTCTCTATGCCCTGTTCTTGAGCTAATCTGAAGGCCACATGAAGTTTGGAGGTCTGTAGCGATCGACTCTGCAGACAGTTGCCGACCTCTGCGCACTGTGCGCCTCAGCATCCACTGACCCCGCTCTGTCATTTTACGTGGCCTACCACTTCGTAGCTGTTGTTCCCAATCGCTTCCACTTTGTTGTAATACCACTGACAGTTGACTGTGGAATATTTAGTAGCGAGGAAATTTCACGACTTCGCTTGTGGCATCCGATCACGGTACCACGCTGGAATTCACTGAGCTCCTGAGAGCGACCCATTCTTTCACTAATGTTTGTAGAAGCAGTCTGCATGGCTAGGTGCTCGGTTTTATACACCTGTGGCCTTGGAAGTGATTGGAACACCTGAATTCAATGATTTGGATGGGTGAGTGAATACTTCTGGCAATATAGTGTAGTTCACATTTTGTCTGGTCAGCTTCGTTTCATTTGTAAATATACATCTGTTCCTGCCATTCAGACCTGCAGTACATTCCAAAAAAGTTGGGACGGGGGCAGGTTAGTGCTAGCAATGAGGTAAAATAATTAAATAAGTAAATAATGATATGATTTGCAACAGGTGATGCCAACAGGTGACTGTAACCATGATTTGGTACAATAGCAGCATATAGAAAAGGCTTAGTCTTTTAGGAGCAAAGCTGGGCCAAGAATCGCCAGTTCGCCAACAAGTGCATGTGAAAATTATTGAAATGTTTAAAAACAATGTTCCTGAAAGAAAGATATGAAGGGATCTGCACACTTTACAAAGGCATGGCTGCGGAAGAAAAGGAGCGGGTGCTGGACTGGCCTGCCTGCAGTCCTGACATATCCCCAGTAGAGACTGTGTGGCTCATTTTAAAACATAAAATGCATCAACAAAGACCCTGTACTGTTGCACACCTTAAAATTTGCAGCAAGAACGGGACAAAGTTACAACTGAAATGCTTCAACACTTGGTGTCTTCAGTTCCTAAACATCTTTTAAGGGTTGTGAAAAGGAATGGCAGCTTTACAAAAGGGAAAATGTTTTCCCAACTTTTTTTGAAATATGTTCCATGAGTAAAACTAAAGTGTTTATTTTGAAAAAACGATAAACCTCATGATGTAAAACATCAAATAAAGTGCTGTTATATTGTTTTCGATGTAAAGAAGGTCAGAAATAATTTTAACTGTTTTCAGCTATAACTATAATTTAACATACCATACCTACTTTTTTTGATTTGGGATTGTGCATGCAGGGCAGTTCTAAAGCAAATTAGTAAAGAAAGAATATGTTTTTTTCATAGCTACCTTACCTACCATACTTATTTATTTTTACATGACATATAAAACATGGCATACTTTTATATGTTCACTGTTCATTTTCAGTAGTAAATAAAATGGTGCTAATAAAATAAAATTTGCTATGTAGACATCTCAACCCATTATTTGTATCACTGGGCTGGTAAGATTCTCTTTAATTCACACCAAACAGTCTGAATGATGTTTTTACATCTTAAAGATCTAATTATGCAGGAACTTGATTGTGAATAAAGATTATGAGTTTGGCAAGGACAGACAAAAAGCCTGTGTTTTTTGCATTTGCATTACAATTGCAATTGCATTCAGTTCAGAATTACATTTACAAATAAGGTTACTTCCAGATGTTTTTGAAAGGAAGATTTATGGGATATTAACTCAAGGAATAATGGACATAAAGAACAGAAGCTAATACAGAAAATGAAACCACAGATGGTGTACAGATGATATTGAACAAAAATGAGCACTTTTCAAAAATAAGCATAAAAATAAGCGAGTAAATTGAAAAAAAACAAATAAGAGCTTTTGAGGAAAATTCTCAAATTATCGGTTTAGAGAGGCCTACAGGAAAGAGGAATTTAAAAGAGATCTTTTTTCATTTCTCTGTAGTTTCTCTTAGACAATGAGATCAATAGAAAAATATGACAGCTGCTGCTCATGATTGTCCTGAGCAAAAAAGCATAGTAGTCTCACGTGTCTCCTCTTAAGTTTTACTAGAGATGTCAATAGTCAGATTTGCCCAAGACATAATGCCCGTGTTTATCTGCAACTGAAAGCAGGAGCTCCATTTCTCATTGAAGCCTAAGAACATTCTCAGTTTTGATTGTGTGAATAACTACTATAATTTTTATCAGGCAGAAGTGCCTCATGTCTCCTTTTTGTCTAGTGCTGTTTTAGGAGAAACATCTGTGGCAAACTTGATGAAGAAATTAAACATAATAAGAATCACGTTAAAGATCAAAATGTTTCTCAGGGAAACCATATTTATCAAAATCTGATTTTACATGAATTTTTGATGTGAGGTAAGGTGGGTGTTTCAGAAAGCCATAAATTTAGACAGGGAACCTGAGGAGCAGACCAAAAAATACACTGCACTTTTTTACAATGCAGACCAACAAGGTAGGCAGGCTCTTTTTAATGAGTTCTGTGAATTGAATTAGTGAGAGATATTTCTCATTCCTGCCTTTTTATCCAGGATACTGCCAAATATGATGTATCTAAGACTGTTTATAACTTCAAGGTGTATGGTCTGTTTTTATTATTATTTTTTTTTATGAATACATAATGCTGTTTTTGTATGGTACATGTGCGTGTGCATTCCTGCATGTGTGCATTCAGGCTCTGAGGAGAATCTGAAAGTTGCTCAGACTCTGCTGAAAATGTGGGCTTCTGTGGAATTGGATGTCGAGAAACATGCTGTGTCTTTACTGAGGTAAATTGCTCTTTTGAAAGAATGCTGTTACTCTGTATTCCCCTCTTTCAAATTCTCTTTCTCAGGGTAGTACCACCTGCCATGTCCTGTGTGTAAAGGCGTTTTTCTACTACACAAAGTACCGGAACCTTGGGCACCAGAGAACTGAAACTGCTTTTTCTATTGGCAATCAGTCAAGATTCCAGTTTTAGCTCTGTTCACTACTGACTTTTTAAGACAAGAAACACAGCTGCCATTTTTATAACGATTTAACAGAACATCGTTCTGTGAAGGAATTAAAGGCGATTTCGACCCTTTAAAATCTGCAGAAATAAATCTGTAAGATGTAAACAAAGTCATTCCAAATGATGTAAGGTGAAATGATCTGTTCTAAAGAAACTTATCAAATCTTTTTTTTTTTTTACAACAGCAGTGATGGGAACCAGATGTCTGAAGCATTTGATTGATGGCTCCACAAGCTACCTCACCATCTTTAACTTTACAACACACGTCTGTGTTCACTAGTTGTTTTGAATTGTAAATGGCATGACTATATTTGAGGTGCAAACATTAAGACCACTGGTTCCTACCACCACCACCATTGTAAATTAATCCGGTCAGTAAGTTTCAATACAACGCACCCTTTCACATCAAATGTAAACGATGTCTCAGGCATGAGGCAGTGTATTCACAACTATTTAATGATTTGGATATTTGGTTCCTATCACTACCGCTGTGAACAATTCTGACAGGCACATTTCACATAAAAGTCGGCAATTGAATTGTGCAAGAATTTTGAAAAACTCCACAGTTTTTAGATTTCACAACCACATGTTAGCATTGCAGACTAACAGAGTGTGATTTTTCTGTTAGTTTGAGGCAGACACCTTTATTTTAATAAAAGAAAGATGAAACAACATGTAAGACATGTCTAGAAACTCAGGAAAACAACAGAAGAACTTTTACAGGTACATTGTCACAACACAACTTTTACTGCTACTATATAGGCGGTAGTCTACTTAGCCCTGTAGTTTTGCAAGCCAGACTTCTGACCAGCTATATTAATGCTTCAGTTAATGCTTCAATTAGAAGGAAGGGTAAAACAAAATCCTGATAATTGTGGCCAACGAAGCAAAATATATATTAGACAGCTCATGTTCTTGGTGATGGTTGAAGTTAAACTTTTGGTAGCCGTTTGACGCTGCTAAAAGAAATCCTTTTGCAATACGTTTGTAGACATGCTTTCTAATATGTACACCTGCCTCAGCCATTTTATCAGGCATATGTACCATATAGTTGCACTTTGTTGGTTTACAGTTATTGACTGTAGGACATCTGTTGCCCAATTTACTGTATCTCTCCCTCTTTATCTTTGCAATGGGACCACCATAGGACCATTGTTGACCAGACATCATTCGTTGTGCTGGTATACGTGTATCAGGCACAGCAGTGTAGTTTTTAAACCCTGCACACACAAACTAGCCACTTTTTTAGAAAGACTTTATTGGTATGTCTTTTGTAATTGGAGACTGTAGTCTATCTTTTTCCACAACTTTTGTTAGTTTTCCTCTGTTTTTTCATTAGTCGTCAGTTTCCGACCACAGAAGCACTGTTGGCTAGATAACCTAGTAACCTAGTAGTGACCCTGAAGTGTCTAATAAACCTAGCAACACAGCTACACCTGATACATTTGGACCAGCAGAACACTGACTAACATGACATTACTGTGTTGGTATCGCTGCTGTGCTGAGAATGATTCACCACTTAAATTATGTCTGACCAATGGCTGACAAATCGTTCATAGCAACATAGGTTCTGTAGTCAGTAATTGTATCCCTTAAGAGTACATATATATCAACAGTGTCCAATCAGGTGTGTTTCTGCTTGTTTGCAATGAAAACCTGCAGCCACACCGGCCCTTTGCAGATAAGATTGGACACCCGTCATCTATACAATAGGTGTACTTGATAAAACAGCCAATGAGGTAGGTACAAGGTGTAAAAAATAAACAACTGTATGTGTGTGTTCTTTCTGTAGGTACATGATCATTAATAATGAACGAACGATGGAGTTATTTCCTTGCAGAGAGGATGAGTGGACCAGAATAACCTTTGTTGACTACTCTGTTCCTGTCCCTGATATATCCAACTCCTGGATGCTGCTCTTTAGGTGAAAACTAAAATACTTGCATCATTATTTAGTAACATTTCAGTATCATAAATATTAAGATGAACATGACATTAGATGCAGTGTATGCTACATAACATACAATGCTTTTCTTAAAAGTGTTTCTGTGTTTATGTTAGGTTTTTTTTTTTGTATCTGCTTATAGGGAGGTGTTCCATGTTCCTAAAGCTATGCTCCTGGTGGCTAAAATATACTCTCCCCTTCCTGCCTGCATTCTGCATGTCATCGACAATGATACTGGAGAAGAATTACCTAGAGTTTTCCATAGAGTCGAGCCATATGTATACACCCCGAATAAGGTATGTGTAATTATTCACATGTATGTGTGTATGTGTAGTTGCTGTATAGATATGTATTTATTGCATACTCTTCCTAGGCTGGCTACACGTTTTTGGCAGAGGCGCATACTGGGGACATGCCAGTAGTAGATGGGAAGTGGCGACTGCGACTGATTGGTTCCCGAGAGCCACTGCCCCAACTGGCCAGAGAGACACTGGCCACTAACTTCTCAGTGAAGGAGTTCAAAGATTACTACATCCCTAACGAGAAGAACATTATCTGCAGGTCTGCACACATACACTTAGACTATACGCTAAAATTTGTAGACTCTTGCAGCTGCAGTAACAGCCTTTAGTCTTCTTGGAAGGCTTCACACAAGATGGTGGAACATTGCTGTGAAAATTTGATTGGATTGACCCACAAGAGCATTAGTGAGGTCAGGTGCTGATGTTGGATAATTACAAACCCAATTAAAAAAAAGTTGGGATGGTATGTGAATTGCATTTCATGCACTGTCATAACTTTTTTTTTTAAATCAAAGTGGTAAGCAGTGAAGCTTTGATTTAACACTTTAATCTGTATTTTATCAAAAAAAGAGAAGATATTTAATGTTTTATATTACCAACTTTACAATTTTTCATAAATATACATTCATCCTGAAATTGATGCCTGCAGCACATCACAAAAAAAGTTGAGACAAGGGCAACTAAAGAGTGGGAACACTGTTAAATTTTAAATTATGTAATCATGCTTGGATTTAAAAGGAGCACCCAGGAAAGGCCTAGTCCTGTGTGAGCAAGGGTGGGTCGAGGCTCGCCACTTCACCAAAAAATGCGCCAGCAGATGACTGTTTAAGATTATCTGTGAAAGCACCGTTATTGATGAATGATCTAAACACATTTTGGAGCAACAGATGCTGCCTTTTAGATGACATCTTTTTAATAAATGTCCACACTTATTTCAACGTGACAGCAGCAAGTAACATTCTGCACGTTTACAACAGCATGGCTGCATAAACAGAGGATGCGGGTGCTAGACTGATTTGCCTGTCTCCATTTGAAAATCGGGCAGAACTGTAGAAGGTTATGTAACACACTGATAAACATGCTCCTGTCCCAACTTTTTTGCAACTTGCTGAAGCTGTCATTTTTGGAATGAGCATATATTTACAAAAACATTAAAGTTCATAAAATAAAACATCAAATATTGTGTTTTTGTACAGTTTTCAATAGTTTAACAGAATTTACCAATTACTGCTTTCTATTTTTATTGGCATTGCACATACTGTGTCAACTGTTTTTGGAACTGGGTTTGGAGTTCTGGATGCACCATTTAAATTCTTCCCAGAGGTGTTTTATCACTATGGTGCTCTATCACTTGAGAAAATGCTATTTCTCTGCTTAACAGCCCAATGCTAGGGAGCTTTTGACCCCTTTTGCTGATGCTTAACATTGGGAATGGTGAACTTAGGCTCCAGTGCATTCCATACTATTGGCAATACTTTTCTATGGGGGTCATGGACAATAAATAAGCCTCTTTTACAAATGCCTACAAGATGCTTATTAGAACATCCAGCTAACACCTGCTCTTTAGTCAAAACTGTGTTATACAGACTATAAGACTCCAGTTGGTCGACTGACTTCTCCGAATGTGTATATTGCATAATTGACTGTAAAAAGTATGGTAGCAGAGTCAGATAATTCTATAAAAGAGGAGTCCTTAACAAATTCTCTGCTGATTGTCAGTAAGCACTTGGAAGTCTAGTGTAATCTGTATTTTCTGCACTTAACATTATATGCTTGTGTGCAGAATGTAATGGCAAAGCAGCATGATATACTCTTGATAAAGGAATTATACAATACTGTGCAAAAGTCAGAAACTACCCTTCATTTATTTAATGTCCTGTCAAAAGATGAAGTCAGGAAAAAATGATTACACTGAAGCCTTAACGATTAAATATAATATAAAAATTTAGTTTGTTTCTTTATTACGACTTCCATTCTTTTCAGGACACCTGCTTACAGTTTTTAAAGGTCCCATATCTAATCTCTTCAGAATTATCTTCTGAACAATGAATAACTTGTACGTAATGGCCTGTTTGACTGGAAATTAAATACATGAAGAGTAGTCTCTGACTTTTGCACAGTACTGTATACTTTATGTGTTGCTTGTGTTAATGATTAACACATCAGTACAGGTTCCATATGGAATGTTTGTTCTATATTGTTAGCATTTTTCAATAAATTTAAGATTGGAAAATTGATTTTGAAAACCCGGTGCTGGTTCTGTGTAAAGGGCTGCTTACCCAGTTCTCTCTCTGTCAGGCACACAGTGAACGTGTCAGGTGATTGTATAGCCACAGTGCAGTTCCAGACATCAAAAGCGGATGTCCATATTAAACTTAGCATCCTGGACCACGAGAAAGAGGTGGCAAGCAAACGGGGCAAAGGTCATGTCATCATCCCCGTCTACTGCTTTTCAGCAAGCAATGGTCAGTTAAACACACACACACACACACACACACACACACACACACACACACAAAAAGAGTTACACATTCATGAAATTGTAAAACTTAAAGCAAAAGCAAACTTATAGCACTTGTTGTACACACATTTGCCGTTGTATGGTTTGTGGCACTCGCCGGCTCTCTCTGTTTTTAAAACTTCGCTTGACATCCTATTCAAACAGACAATCACTCTCTTAGTTTCTTATCTACTGTCCAATGCTAGCAGCTCTTGTGTGTATTTATAGAGTGTTTATTTGTGTATGCGTGCGTGTTGCAGACTCTTCCGGCAGTGCCGATGAGCGTGCGGGGGCGCAGTGGTCTCAGGACGGCCCTGACGGGGGTCAGAGAGAAGGAGGAGCAGAAGGAAAGGCGGTGGGGAATGAGGACTGTCCGCCCCCTGCCTCTGAGCAGTTTCCTGCCGAACCGGTATCCATCAATACAGACAAACTCTTGTTCATCACTGTCACTGATACTGTGCCCTGCGTGTGTCTGTCTGTCTCAGAGAAGGAACGTGGTGTCTGGGTTTTTTCGTTTTTATGTGACAACATATACATGGTTGTTTTTTATAGCCCGGTCTCATTATATGTGTCTGTTTGTGTTTTTGTGGTTTTGTTTCAGGGTCACAAGTACATTGTTCAGGCTGAGGTGCTTCACAAGAGCTGGCCTCTGGATGACTCACTGTCAGGCTTTATCCAGACCCTGAGATATATGGAGCAAAATGAGATGAGAGGCAAGTACAATGGTCACATGCTCCCTGTTCCTAACATAAAGGACTGTCAACCAATCAACCAATCTGGCCTCCCTTAGCCCTAAATAATTTCTCTGTTCATCCAGTCCTACATGCACATCCGGTCTGTGTGTATTTATTTTTTTCCCCTGTGTTTACAATATTAGAAGAGTCCACACAATATTTAATTCGAAAAATCATTACATAGGGAAGATCATGCAATGTAGAAAGTGCAATAATAAATACATAAATACATAACATTATAATTGACAGAAGGGGAGCTACGTGTAATGCAAATTAAGTAAGGAAGCTACCGTCTTAATTTAAATGAAGTTTCATCTTCCCTTTGGCTCTCAATTGCCTAGTCATATTTTATAACTATTGGCTGTCATTTGTAATCAGATTGTTTCCTGGTCTAACTGGAGATGGAACAGCATGGACCTCTATGAAATTAAAGTTATCGAGTGCTGCGGTTAAGCTAATCAGATCAGATCTAGTCAACAATGATCAGAACATATTGTGGTGGGATAATGTTGTAAATACTGTAATGCCATTTCATTCAGTGCTTTTGACTGATTTGATTGAGCTTCAATGAAATGGTTTATTACATTGAACATTGTTGTGCATTGATGCACAAAGTAAAAAATAATGTATTGTTTACAGTGCCATGTTCCAAAGTCCCTCATTGTGGAAGGCTCACCAATTAGGTACACTTGTTTTGTCAAGGATCCACATGAAACACACAACTTTAGGGTATAAATATGAAAAATCATCCACACCCTCAAGTCTGTGCAAAGAATAGATTTCTACACAGATTTGAGTGTGCGGATGCTTTTTTACATTTATGTATTATATATTATTAAGTCTGATACCAGATGAGCTGTGTTTTTCTTCCTTCATTTTTAAAATTTACGTTATGAAAAGGTACAAATATACCTATGTTAATAATACTCAGAAGTGGACCACTGCTCCACTGCCAGCTACTACGACATGAGTCACTGGTGATATAAGTCTGCAATACTCAGCATGCGCTTAGGATCTATCATCTGGACGGTGTCCTTCCAGTCTGCCTGTGTGTGTCCAGGAAGACCCAAGTCACATATGACGAAGATCCATTGACACTGATGGAGAGAAGAGATATAGAAGAGATGGATAGAGAGATGTGGGAAGAGGTTTCTAAGGATCCTGAAGAGTCCAGTAAACATGGAAGTAGAAGTGAGATGAGACAACAGGTCCTAAAAGACCAATCCACTGTCACAGTATTGCTGCATATTGGTGTTGATAGAGAGCTACCAGTTCCACAGGAGTTATTGAGACCATGTTGCCCAACACAGAGAAGCTGGGACACAGATCTTCTTGGTGGGCTTTGCAGCAGGACTGGGATCAAAGCTGCCAGCTGGGCAGTGATGCCGGATGTCCATAATATATCCAGAGTTAATGGCAAAGAGTTCCCATTTGCCCAAGTCTCATTGTTTGGAGAAGACCACAGCTGGATGGATCCCAGGGCTGTTGTAATAGCATCTCCACTTCCACTGAAAGTGACCAGCACCCAGCACATTTTTTCAGTCTTTTTGACTTCAGGGCTTTCTAAGTTACATTGTAATTCATTGATATGTTTTTAATGGAAATTCGTCTTTTTGCTGCCTCACAATGACTAGTCTGGGATGAGCACAGCACTGGCAGCAGAGTTAGCAAAGACAGTAGAGGTTTAGTGTCTGTGGAGATAAAGATGAGATGGAACCAAAGATAAGGCTCCGTACATGCAGGGGGTCTGCCTTCTATCACCCTGTGAATCCTGGAAATGTGTGGGGAATGGCTCTATGTGAAGATGGATGGGTATTGTATGTTCCTAAACCCTTCCTGAGCCTGATGGGCTTTTGTCCAGGGCTTCAAGGAGGAGGAGTGGCTGGCAAGGGCTCACAGGTGTAGATCAGTCAAACTGCTTGCTGTGCTGAGTGAATCTTTCCTGAAACATCTGTGTGATGATTACCTGAATACAATGGAACTGGGTGTGAAATGGATTTGAAATGGTCACTAGGTTTGTTTACTTTATTCTGCCTTCCTGCCAGCAAGTAGAGATAGGGATAGGGAGTCATGTTTGTAGGTCAGATTGGTTTGCACTACTTTTTGCACTACTTTTTGCTACCCTTGCTGGAATGCAGTGATTAGTGTCTGCTCTTTCTAACCACTACTGATAGCCAGGGTGTGAAGGACAATCTTCTCCAGACCCTGCTCTCCATGGGATGGTCTAACATGAGCATGAACAGTATTGTGAAGTGGTTGTCGAACTAGTTCTTCTCACCTTGCTGCTCCCAGGTGGCAGTTGATGACCCCAGCCGTCTCTTGACTGTCATAGAATGACGCTATAAATGAAATCTTAGAGGTTAATTGCTGTGTTCTGGGCTACATATAGGCTATACTGCAAGAGGAATGTGAGCTCTCAAGGACATGTCATTCTTATTAGGGAGCACAGGCTCATCTTCCCTGAAGGAGAAGAGTTGGTGGTACTAGGAAAGATCAGTTGCTGGTTTAGTAGCTAAGTTGTTCATTGGTGAGTTGTGGGATCTGTTATTTATGAATCTGATGTTTCTGGCTTACAGTATTCTCTTCTAGCTGCTTGTGAAGCTAAGGTTCTCTCAGCTATATCCATAATGTCTGACTTTAATATAACGACACAACGCACATAAAACAAACAAAGAAACAGGAACTTTGACAACCTGACTTGAACATTCAGAATTCAAATCTGCACCTGCAAACAAGACACAATGAACAAGCCAAACCTGGAAGCACTGTGCATGGAACAGGTGTTAGTTACCTCGAGAGATGGAGCACTGGGGACATATCATTTGATATTGGTGTATAAAAGAACTAACTTTGTAAGATGTGTTTTTTATGGTTTATGCTTCTGACTTATTGCCTGAGTTTGTTTATGAATTTGTTGATTCTGCCTTTAATGTGTGATTATATGTGTGGCTGTTTTTCCTCCTTTTTTAATGTTGTTTCATATGATTTCAGGCATCTGCCCAGGGACAACAGATGAAAGTGAGCCTTTCGGCTAAATCTGGCATGTTCATAGTTATGTTTATTAATGTGCGCCATCCCCACTAAATAAACACAATAAAGTAAAGTAAAATTGTCAGGCCTCATCTGGCCTCTTCTGATTTGAATCTGGGTTCATGTTTTCTCATTAGAGCTAAAGGAGGCAGAAGAGAAGCATGGCGTATCCCGCTCGCCTCTTTGATTAGCCACCAGCTTGCCATCAAAATGATAATGAAACCCAAATAAATTCAGCTGGAAATGTGATTTTGCCACATCCCGAGGCGGTGGGATAAGGAATAATCGCTTGCTAGCTTTGGGTCAGCTTAGTTGAGATGAGTTGAAACTAGGGGAGCCACAAACGCGGTTTGTTTTGGCTGAGTAGTCAGTCAGGGAAAATATAACTGAAATGGAAAAGGGAAGAATTGTGGGGAGAATGTTTTTTGTGTTTGTGTGTTGGCCTACTACTTGTAAGTGGCGTGTGGAGTGAAATGGATAAAACGTTTTAGGTTTGCATGACTGCCTGAGTAATATCATATGAGTAATATCATTAGAATTTCTTTGTCTTTCTAAACCCACGCTCATCAGTGTGCTGCCTTTACATCATGCAGAAAAGCGAACGTATATGGTACGTATCATTATCGTGCCTTATGCATTGACATTGACAGCACAGTTACATTATTTAGAATTGACTCGTGATGTAGTACTTACAAATATGAACAAAAAAATAATCAATATTAATGCTTAAATCAATATTAATGCTAGGTAAAGTCAACCGTTCTGATGCAAATTGCACCTGATGTTATTATAAATGACATTGCCTTTGTTTGGGTAGATATGAGTAGATTTAAATAAAAGACATTGCCATTGGTTGGGCAGAACAAGTCGCAATCATGGTGAAGGAGCTTCCTAAAGAACAAATGTTGTTAAACAACACTCAACTGGAAAAAGCTACAAGGCCATAGCAAAGCCCTTAAACATTCCTGTTCATGCAACTGGTTCTGTAGTACGCAAGTGGAAAGTTAATGGAACCACAAGTAATTGTCCACCAAGCTTGCCATGCAGACTAATAATAAGGTCAGAGAGAAACCACCAGTCACTTAAAAGAGTTGCAGGATGACCTGAAAACAGCAGAAGCAACAGTTACACAAAGAGCAATAAGCAATGAACTGCACCGCAGTCATCTTCCTTCCAGCACCCCACATAAAACTCTTCTGCTAAAAAGAGGCACTCTGTAGCAATAATTCATAATAATGTTCTGAGAAAGAAGGGTCACGTGTATGATCCCAAGAACAACATGCCCACAGTCAAGTATGGAGATGAGATCATTATGATATAGGGCTGCTTCGCTGTACACAGTACTGGGGCAATAAATGTCATCAAAAGAAACATGAATGGGGGCAATGTACTGGGGCATATTAGAGAATTTAATCTCATCAGCCAAGAAACTGAATCTGGGGAGAAGGTGGATGTTTCAAAAAGACAACAATCCCAAACAAACAGCCAAAATAACTTAAGACTGGTTTGTAAAAAAGAATGTGAATGTGATTCTGACTTGAATATCATTGAAATCATTGCATTGATCATTGTAAGTCCATCAGAGGGACCCTTGTAACCCTGGAGAAGGGGGCGGCAACTAAAATGTTAAGAAGAGCCATTCTGAAAAGGTTCAACAAGCCTTTGCCGCAGCATTTCATGTACTGAAGTAATGTTTCACCATCTTGGCTGTAAATATGTTTCAGTATGTGCTGATGTCCTAGTATAGGCTAAAAATATAATATAAATGAAAACGCAGACTTGGCTGTAATATAAGCTTTAGCTCAGCTATAGATGCTTTTCTCGCATCTTCCGCAGGAAAATGTCTCTTAACGTTCGACTTTTTACGAAGCTGAAGTCAGCTTCTCATTCACCAGCGTCCTATTCAAATTTTCCCATTCCACCTCAAATGGTGCCTGAGGCGCTAGAATGTAGCTAACTAGCTATGTAGCTAACTGTTGCACCATTTAAGGTGGAATGTGAAAATTAGAGCAAGAAGCCGCTGAGCGAGAAGCTTCGTGACTTTTTAGTGTTTGACAGCTTCTCGTTGCAGATTAAACGTATCAGGAAACAAACTGGAGCGCTTATAAATGCACATAAGTCCATTAGTCTCTAAATTATCAATGTTCATCTTAAATTATTCTCTTTTTCATTATTTCATTAGCTGCTAGCTAGGCAAGATTGTCGTCTGTGCCGCTGTGTGACCAGCAGTCTGCGTGCCAACCTTCAGGGTTAAAGGGTCAATAAGCAGTTATACATACAACTCCAGCGTTTAAGACCATGCATTGTTAAAACTGTGTTAGAACAGTGTGTTAGAACAATCACCAGGGTTTTATTTTACTGCAAAGGAGGATTAACAGATCTGCCTGTTGCCGACCCCTGGCCTAGAGGAATGGTCCAAAATTGAACTACCATGCTGCAAAAAGCTAATTACCTATTAGCTGTAATTTTTTGTTCATATTTGTAAGTACAAAAGCAAAAGATTGTGTACATTTGAAGCGGATTTATACACTGGAAGTATATGAAACAACAAAAACAAGTGTCTGAATAATGTTTCCTTTACTGTGTGAGTGTGTGTGTACAGAACAATCAGTGCCTGTAGTGCTTTGAAGACACATGGAGCATGTATGTCTTTCCTGCTGCACGTGCCTCTTGTTTCATTTCCCAGGAAGCCTGTGGAAATGGGTCAATGGGAAGTCAAATGAAGTTGGCTCTTGGCCTCTGGTGCCCTGGGAAGTATTTCTGGAGGAGAAAGAATTGAATTAACCCAGTTAAAGTGTGTCCCAGTGGAAGAGGAGCAGCCTTACATGGCCCCATACACACTTACCACGCACCAATCAATATATCCACACGGGAGGCAGCCTGAGCCCAGCTGAGCACAGCTTAGCCCAATCTAGCCAAGCCTGGACTGACCTGGGCTAGCACACCAAACTCCCCCTGCTTTAACTTCCCTCTCTAGTGCTTTTATGAACTTTATTACCGTACATTTGTCCATTATATAGATGGCTATGGGTCTTTATAATGCTTTTTCTTTTTTTCTTTGTTAATTCCACAGTAGTTGGTGGAAAATGGTTTTAAACACTTTCACTTATGTATTTTCTTCTTGTCAAGCGTCACAATCTATTCACACAATGACATCTGATTATTTTCTATCCTGGTCACACGTATAGCAATTTCTTTTCTAAATAAACTGGCCAAACTTGTTACATTCACAGTTTATGCTATGTAACAATACCAACCCTTATAATGGTAAGCAGTTACAAATGAATTATCCCCTAATTGGTGAATAATTAGCTGTGAATAAGAAGTCAGCATTTTAAAGTGTCCATTTGAAACTTTTAGTGCCAGACCGTGGTAGTGTATTCTCAGATGATGGTCATGTTCGTGTGGTGGATTGCTACTGACACATAGCTGTCAGGACGGAGGATCAGAGCTTGTCACCAAATCAATCCTTACGGACTCCATATGAACTTGTCAACCTGTCCAGCAGGACGATGGGTGTCAGCGGTGTTATTTATAGGAAGGCCAAAGAGAAAAAAATGGTCAGAGATTTTGAGTTTGCATTAATGTGGATGAAAGTACGTTCCGAATAGAGCAACACTGCCATCTAGCCTGCTTTTTGTCCACATAGAATTACACAGGATCAGCAGAAATGCAAGTGAGGAAAAGATTTTCTTCAACAGATGGCACCATTTTGTTATAAAACCACTACAACAACATTATTAAATGACGAAATTCAGAGGATTTTTGTACTTGTAGGTGCATCTTGAATGTTATATGTTATTAATACATTTTTGATAGATTTTTCTACTGGTGCGTTGATCAACTGTCTGGTATGTTTAATGTGTGCAGTGGGCGGAGAAAAGCCAGAGGATCTCGCCGCACCTACCAGCAGCGAGGCACAGAAATTAGCCACGCCCAAAACCACCCGCAAGACCAAAGAGAAGGAGAAAGACAAATCGACCTCCAAGCCAGGCTCCAGGATGGAACAAGTCAGTGTGTCTGTTTTTTGTTTGTTTGTTTTTGTGTGTCTGTGCAAATGTTATAGAGAGGCCTCATATTGCTTCTTATTGACTCACTCCCATGAGCAAAATGAGACATTTCTTCCTCATGTTAATTTCTTCTTTGGCTACATATGGAGTTGCTCAGAGAAGTGTGATCCATCTCTTAGATATTTCTCTCCAGAAGGAATTGTGTTGGGTGGCATTAAATAGGATTTAATATATGAATTTTATTTTTAACAGACTGTGTGATTATAGAGTATCTTTAGACTATGAGTCAGACTGCTCATCTGATATTATGACTCAGTGCATTATAATAAAAAGAACCGAAGATCCAGGATAAGATTTTCTATCTCTGCTGCGTGTGCATGTATGTGAGAGTGTGCACGTTTGTTAATTAAAATTTGTTTGTGCATATACTGTATGTGTTTGTGTATGCCTGTGGCGGTGTGCCCACGTGTGGGAGGGTTAATGTATGGATGCACAATGTGTGCGTGTGCCTGTGGCTGTGTCTATGTAGAATCTGGACGTGAGTAAGCCTCACTGGATTCTCCGTGTGGTCACTGAGTTTTCGGATATGGAGGGGATCAAGGTGAGAAAGGACACAGAGAGACTGGACCAAATCAGAGCCATCAAACTAGCCTGGGAGGCTGCTGAGCCAGGAAGAGCAGTTAAGGTCTGACATCACCCTTTTGGCTGAAAGCTTCAAAGTAGCCAATACACATTTGGTTCGCTTCTTTAATTTTGCACTGGAGCTACAATGGAGCTCTAATCTGTTACTGAAGGCCTTAAAGTAGCCAATACACGTTTGGTTCGCTTCTTTAATTTTGCACTGGAGCTACAATGGAGCTCTAATCTGTTACTAAATTTCATGCATACAAGACTAATGTCTAGCTAATAAGTAGGGGTGTAACAATGCATCGTGACATCATGATATCTTAATGCAAAATTGTGACAAAGTGCATTGTGGAGAATGGACGTTCCGTCAATTATGTCGTCTATTCCAATCTCATTGTTTGAACACCAAAGTTTCCAAACTACTAGCTAGGGCTGAAAGATGATCATTTTTAGGTTGAAATCGTAATTTGAAAGTGTGTGATCTTTAAATCACAAGAAATGACTTCTTCCCGCTCCAGTATCATTAGAAAGTTGTGCGACAACATGATTTTTGTTCAAAATATTGTTAGAATTCCGAATCATGAACCCACTATTGTGCATTGAATTGAATCACACATCTTGTATTATTGTTCCATTGTGAATCTTGAACACTGTGCATGTGCATACACATCCACACACACACAAGCATAGGTAAGATTTGTGTGCAGAACTATCTGTCCCTGGCCTGTTGTTAATTCTTATGCAGGCTCTTCAGTCCCGCCTCCAGTTCATTAACAAACATCTGAGGACACTTGGAGATGCAGCGGAAGGAGCCGAGACCATTACTGCCGAGACAGGTTACACACCCACACTAGCTAAAAACACATCATGACATAATAATTGAAGAAGTTGAAACTGCATTTGCCCTCAGTGTTGAGTGTGTGTTACTGTGCAAGTTTGTTTTCTCTATAGGTGTTCAGTCTCAGTCCCCTTCCACTCCCTCCAGCTATGAAGACAGTGTAACTGCTCACCAGAAATACAATTATGTCATGGACTACACACCTTTCATCAGGTACAATGCTACAGTGCTACTGTGATATGAATTTCCACGGTAAAAAATTGCTGCACTGACAGAACAGATCAAATTACCTGCGCAGCACTAGAGTGATGCAATTAGATAGGCGGGAATGTAGTTTTAGAACCAAAAAGCGCTTCCCTGCACTGGGCTTGAAGAGTGGAGAGCAAATAACTTAATAACTTAATCATTCAGTTATACGGCTGATATCATAACACACCTGCAAAGCTCAAAAACTACTTCATCCTGAACTATTAGCATCTAAAAATACTTTAAATGTGATGATTATTCCACTGTGTGTAAAATGTGTGAAGCAGTATTGGCTACTGTCACAAAAAAAACTTGCATCACCATAAGAACCTTTATAAAGGAATGGTTCGCTGGAAAATCAAATTTACACAATTTTCCACTTACCCCAGATGTAGTCGATCAGCAGAGACATGTTTGGAGTCCATATTTTGCTTATTTAGTTTAGAACTGGAGCGATGAGGCTAACATTGCTAACAAACACTAGAACTCAATAGTCACCTAAATAGGCCAAATAATTTCTGTAAAAATACATCACCAAAACGTCTTTCAACCCACTCTGCATCCGGGTGTTCATTAAGGTCGCACAGACTTGTCGTTGTGGTTCAGGACACAGTATGACTTACAGTGAATGAAGAAAATTGCGGGCAGCCAATTTAAGACAACACAATCTGTATTCACAAACAGTATTTTTGACAATGACCATCATAATATGGAACAATCTGATCCAAATTCAGTCCTACTTTGGGAACATCGGCCCTGGTGTTGCCCGAAATGGTTGTCTGAAGCAGAAGTTTTGTTTATTTTTATAGCTCACAGTAAGTCATACTGTCACATCAACAAGCCTATGCGACTTTAAAAGACTTGAATGCCCGGTTTTAGAGAGATGTGGTTTGAGAGAAGTGTTAGGATTGTATTTTTACAGAAATTATTTGTGCTATTTGGGTGATGATTGAGCTCTAGTGTTTGTTAGCAACATTAGTCTCATGGTTTCAGTTTTAAACAAAAGAAACAAAATGTGGACTCCAAACTTGTCTTGTCTGATCGACTACATCTAGGGTGAGTGGAAAGTGTGAATCAGATTTTTTACCAAACTATTTCTTGAAAGAATAAAGCATGCTGCTTGTTTTTGTAGGCCTATATAGAAAATAAAAAGAAATGTATTTATTCATTTTTGACGCCTTTATAGAAAAACCTGTTCAAGGAATACTGGCTGTTTGTAATTTTTGCTGTTTACTTAAGGAGAGGTTGATCAGATTTCTGTTTATACAGCAAAAAAAGTCTACTTGTGGCACATCCAGTCAGACACTATGACACACTGTTATGATAATAATTTATTGCTTTTCATTTTGCCATTGTGATATGCAACAGCTTTATCAAATGTCACATATTATGATTCTTATCATGCAGCCCCAACACACACACACACACACGTGCATACACACAATCACCTGTATCTTTGCGTTGCTATCGTACTGCTTTGCAGTCAAATCACCAGCATTGCTTCAAAGTTAGTTGAATTTAAATTGAACAAATTGGAAATAACTTTAATACTTGGTTTGACTTGCTTGAAACTTTCAGTGAGCTTTCTCTTTGTTTTGTTCTGATGATGGTGCTAATGAGTGTTCTATGGTTCTGATATCTCTGTGTCAAGTGCAGAGCAGAACGAAGTGAAAGCTTGCACCCTTGACAATGGTGAAACCAGGGTATAATAAGTTTACTATGTACCTCTCTTTTAATGCCGTGTGTAGGAGGACTGGCAAGCAGGTTCGTCTGAAGGATGCACTGATAGAAGAGGAACAGAGAAAGGAACGTTCTGAGAGGATCCAGAGCTTCCGCCTGCTCCGAGACACAGTGCTGGAACACCGCAAACAGGAGCTGATCTCCCGCAGGGAGCTGAAGAGGAGACAGCTGGAGACTTACGATGGCCTACAGGTCAGTGTGTTCAAGCCAGCCATAGCTATGATATTAATGTGCTCATTATTGATCAGCAAGTCTACTTACATAATGAATTACATTTATGTCTTTTAATACTTGCAATGACAAATGTGACATTCATTGAAAGTGATTAGAATCAGCATTTTCGACAGAATTTCTCTGCTTGTTTCAATGACCTATGAGGTGTGTCAAGGTGTATATGCCATAGGGGACCTAGAAGGGTTAAAACCAGGGTTAATCTTTAGTCAGCAAGTTATACAGATATTGTTCTTTGTTTAAAAACTCCTACTACTGACTGTAATAGGTGGCTCTAGCTGAGCAGAGGCAGAAGATCCTGCAGGCTCGAGAGGCATTCCGCTCCCGCCTCCTAGAGGAGGAGTCTCGGAAGAGAAAGGCAGAGTTAGCCCTGGAGACAGCCCGACAGGATGAACTGGAGAAAAGCCAACCCCGGCAAACCCCAGCAACAGCACGCAAGAGTGGAGGCAAGAAGAAGTGAACTGATTGGCTAGAACCTTGCAGCAATTAAATTAGTCATCTATGACAATGTGGTAGGATGTGGTAGATACACTAATTTAGTGCATCAATTAAATTAAAATCAAAACATTTGTTTATAAAAAGCTTTCTTTACCATGTTTGGCTTACAAACTCTGCGTGAATTGAAATTAGTTGGCTAGTTCTACCAGCATATTCAATGCATTAGGTTTTAAGGAGAACCTTTGGGTTTAAATTTCAGTGGCACATTTTCTAAGCACAGAATAATCTTAGGATTTTGAGAGATATTTGCTGGAGAATTTGTCTATGTTGCAAAGTGCTTAGATTTTAGAATATTGTCAAATTGGAGGTATTAAAATTTGGTGAAATGGGGTTTAGGGACAAATATCCAGTATTTAATGTGGAGATACATAAACAGTAATCCTTTAGTCTAGGTTACTTAATGTATTGGGTTTACCATTGCATTTGAACATCTGTAACAGAAAAAAACCTGTACTGTTATCTGATTTTCTTGTTGGAAGTGTGAAAAGTGTCATTAAATACTTTATAAAACGCATAAAAAGTCTGAAATCTTAACATTTAGATAACCTAGAACTACACTTAATCCAGACTTAGCCCTGTGAGCATCCTATAACTGTCAGGTCAACTGCTCAATGTGATAATTTCTAGGCTGTGATTATAGTGTTGGATAGATTTGCGTGGGTCGTCCAGATCAGCAGTGACTCAGCGGCTGATCGATGTGCTCTGCCCAGTGGAAACGACAAGGGAGGCTCCGGTGGCCCAGCCTCATCGCTCTGACTTTCAGGGAAATCTTGCCTTTGTCGCATTTGACAGCTAGATCAAGGTCAGTGTATCAGGCAAGCTGAGTGAGACAGCAAGTACTGACTCTTAATTGAAATCAATAAAAGCTAAAGACCTTCAGTTTAGACAAAAGAAAGGTGGATTTCCTGTCTTAGAATATTACCAGTGAAAACACAGGAGGCTCAGTAGACACAGAGGCAGGCATTTGTCCCTTCCACCATCCATATCAATAAATTCTATATGTGAACAACTTAAAAAAGACATGGAAATGAACAGAAAGTAGACATTTACATAACCTTCCTTGCCAAGCTTGCACATACCGCCCCCAACTTCCGATCAAGCAAAGAATAAAACCTGCCACATTTATGAGGCTGTAACAGGAGAGCTCTAACAATAGCTACCCTGAAACTTGTCATCTAATCATTAGGATCAGTTGAGCTGAGTGCCTCTCAGCACCTGCACTTTAGTTCAACTTTACTTCACAATCTGCCACAAGTAGAAACAGAAATTGCACATTTAGCACCTGTGTTGTCGCATGTTTGAGTAAACAGTCCTTTTGTGAACAAATAACTGTTCAACACATGTCCAAACAGAGAGAATCTCATACCTACCCAGTCAAGACAAAGTGTTTTCTCGCTTGGTGCCACATATAACCACTTCCAATGGTGCCACCTGCTGGTGCTTCTTGTAAGCACAGAGCTCATGAAGCTTGAACATCTCTCCAACAAGTAGATTCAAATCTCCATGACTTGTGCTTATTATTTGAATATACTCTGAGTCTCTGTGTTTGTCTGTCTGAATCTGTCTTGTGTTGTCTGGAGCAAAAAGGGTTTTGCCTCAAATTACATTGCAATCACTGTGCTTTAGGCGACCTATAAATAGTCTAGATGTCTTATTTGTTTTCTTCTTTTTATGGCAGAATGATGCATTTATTTGTTTTTCTTTTGTTTGAGTTTTTTTTGAGTGAAAAAAAATTGTGAGAAATCTCATTTTCATCCTAGTGTACAGTATTTCTCAGGCTCCAATTACAACAGGCCCATAAGCGGTAGAAGTTCTCAGGTTACCTCTGCTTTTTGAAAGCTAGCTTTGTTTCTCAGAAGCCCATTTTCATGAATTTGTTTTTTTCCGTTCCAGTGGGCAGTAAGAACACTTACTTGCATCCACTCTTAAAATGTCTCTGCTGATGACAGTAAATTGGGCCTAGATCTATGCCTTTCTCTCACTCTCTCTCTCTCTCTCTCTCTCTGTCTCCCTCTTTTGCTGTTTTCCATCTGCTGCCGACACAGGCACACGCAACACACTTAAAGTGGTCTTAACTCTGACAGTGGGGAATGAGTCATTGCAAAGGGTGTGAATTGTGCTCTGGAGGGACCTCTGCAGTGGCTTAAGGTCAGGTGTGTGCGTTTGGGTGTGCATGTGGTTGTGTGCATCCTCTTCTTTGTAAACTCTTGAGGATGCAGCCTGTCAGTTCACATCCAACCGAAGTAAGCTTTATTTTTCTGCGAACCGCATGAGAGAGCTAATCGCTAAGCTGTGGTGAGGACATACACACACTCACACACACACACACACACACACACACACACTCACATAAAACATATTAGTGAGTCTACTTAAGATGTCAGGGTCTTGCTTGGGTCCACTTCTTCAAACATGCCCTAACAGCACATACAGTACTGTGCAAAAGTCAGAGATAATCCTTATTTAATTTATAGTCAAAATGGCCATTAAGTACAAGTTATTCATTTTTCTGTGTCAGGAAAAGAGCAGAAAACATACGTTTGACAGACAAATACACAGAAGCCACAACAACTAAATATAATATCAACATCAAGTGTGCCCACCCTTTGCTTTTATTACAGCTGTCATTCTTTTCGGAAGACTTGCTTTCAGTTTTTCAAACGAATCTGCAGGGATGTTTTTCCACCTCTCAAAAGTTCAGTCTTAGAAGTTGGTTGCATTTTCTGCTTTTCAAGTAATGCCTCCTGTTTTTTCATTTATTTTCCTTTGACCTTCGCCTTCCTTATGCAAGTGGATTCTCTTACATCTAATCTTATCAGAAATATTGTGAAAAATTACTAACTTAATGAATAAATGGAAATAAAATAAATTAAGTGTGGTCTCAGACTTTTGCACGGTATTGTATACACTTAAAGAAAAAGTTTAGCAAAGGTTATCAAAAATGTAGCTAAATATGTGCATGACCCAAACGCAGCAAAGCTGACATATGCTGCTGCTTGTAAACACACTCACATGATATTAGTGTAGTGTCTCCGGCCTGGGGGACGTCACACTCGTAAGTGTTGAGTCAGTGGTTGCCTAGGACACATGCTATGGGGGGAGAGAGAGAGAGAGAGAGAGAGAGAGAGAATAGATTTAATTGCATCTGCATCATACCTGGCCAGTTATTCATTTAATTTATTTATTCATTCTTTCATCAGTTTCTTCACTTGTTCTCTCGTGCTTACAATGGCCCTACACCTGCCACCTGCCAGGATAACAATACAAACTCAGGCTTTGTTTGTGTGTGTGTTTGTTTGTGGGTCTTTTTGTGTAGCTCTCTTTTGAAAAACAAAGAACAGTTGCAGAGACTAGTACTGCACATACAGTACTGTGCAAAACAATTATTTATTCACATAGATATAAGATAACTCGCTTGCATCAGGAAGGGGAAAGCCAAACACAGACCTTTACAAAATATTACTAAAACTTATCAAATCATGTCAACTGTGCAACACCTGATAGACCACCAAAACTGTCCATATGAGATAATCTGTTCTACAAACTTACATCAGATTTCATCTGTAGGATGTGCAGCTGCCAAGAAGTTGTTACTAAGAAAAAGAAAAAGAGACAAAAATGAAGAAATTTTCGAAATCAAACAAAGAAGCTGCTGGTGTTCTCAGAACAATGGACTGACCACCCCAGAGCCCAGACCATAACATCATTAAATGGGTTCTGGATTACTTGGATTGTGAGAAGCAGAAAATATGACCAACTTCTAAGACCAAACATTGGATGTGTGTCAAAATAACTAAAAAAATTGAAAAACTGAAAAACTGAAAGCCAGTCTCCCAAAAAAGAATGGAAATGGCAAAGAATGGACACACCAGATAGTGTCATATATATGTTTGCTGTTTTCTCCCTGACACTGAAAAATCAGTTTTTTGTACGTAATTGCCATGTTGACTTAAAAATTACGTAAATGAATGGTGGTCTCTGACTTTTACACAGTACTATATGTTTGAGAGTGAATTAGCATAAAACGTGTTATTGTCTAACAGAGGACAATGGTGTGTATGTTGTGGTATTGGGCCTTTGTTAAGACAAGGTCTAGTACAAACTAGGGTGTTGTGTTAATATGTATCTGCAAATGTATGAAGCTTAACCTAATAGATGAAAGTTTTCTTAGAAGACATGTTTAGGTGTGTGCCATGTGTGAAGTACTGATATATTCTTCTAGTGTCTGCAGTCTCCTGTGTCCTTGCTCCCAGTGATTGGCTCAGAGTTTGACAGACAGGACTGAGTGTTTGACCCTGTACTGCATCTGCCCCTCAGACAGCCCATAGAAAGCCATGAGCTGTCACTCCCTTTAGACTGACTGATTGACATCTGTCCTTCAGGGTGATCAAACACAGTGTAGACATGTGCAAAGGTGAAAGTCCACCGCCTCCCCACACACACTCCATTTAAAGGAATAACCCCCCCCCCATAAAAAAAAACCCATAAAAAACGAAATGCCAGTGTTGCTACCATTATCAGTATCAGTTAGCAGGACTTCATTTATGTAATGCTGATTGAACCATAGTGCTTGCATTCATTTTTAGCAGCGCCACCATTTACAAAAGTATTCCTTTAAAATCAGGCCAAACGTAAGAAAAAGCTTATGCATGGTTTCTTAGAGGAAGTAGGTATGTGCCCTTATATTCTCTAATCTTGGGTAAATTGCATGGGTTGCCAGCTGTGAGGATAGCTTCACTGACTGGATGGTCATAGTGTGGCACATGTTACTGTGTACTTTCCTCTAGTGCAAAACTTTAGCTTTTGTCTCATAAACTGGCCTAGAACTGGGTTAGAGAAACAAGTTTCTAAATTCTGTGAGTACTGAACTTTAATAAAATAGTGATCGGCTCACTACAGTGCATAAAAAATTCAGAAATATCAATGGTGTTAATTCTAGGGTATATAGAAATAGAAATAACAACCCGTTTTATGCACAGCCCTCCTATTTCAGAGGACCCTAAGTGGTTGACTGCCTGTTTTGCTGCTCAGTTGCTTCTTAGCCTGCTGCATGGTGTAGCATCATTAGTTCATGCATAAAATAACTAACAAAAGGTCTAGGCCAAAATCACTGTTTAAGCAAGGGCTGATGAGCTTAATAGGAAACAACGTTGCAGACCACATATCTTAACCACAAGAAGACACCAGCATGACCTCAGATGACTTACCAGAAGATGCAAACCGCTGATAAGCTTTGAGGAATGAAAAGCTGGGTTATGACTTTACTAAAAATTACTGTAGCTCTACAGAAGTGTGTTCCAAAGCCCTATAGACAGACAAGATGAAGATTAACCTGTGCCAAAGTTCTGTAAAGAGGAAATTGTGGATAAAAAAGAACTGTTCATGATCTAACACACACCACCTCATATCTATCTATCTATCTATTTATTAATCTATGATGTGACTGTCAACTGCAACAGCAGCTGAATTCTGAAGTGTGCAGAAGCATCTTAACTGCTCAGATTCAACCCAGTGCCTCAAATCTCAGTGGATGGTGCTTCACCTTTCAGCAGGACAGCTAAAGTAACTGTGGAGTTTTTCAGGGCCAAAAAATTGAATGTTTTTATCTAGCTAAGACAGTCACCAGACCTGAACCTCACTAAGCATGGATTTCACATTCTGAAGAGAGGGCTGAAGGCAAAAAGCAGGAACTGAAAATGGTTGCATTCCAGGCATCATCAGGGAAGGTTTATGGGTCCTAGACATCATAATTTATGCTCGTTTATGCTCATTTATCTAATTTTAGGCCCTTGAAATTGATGGACTATAACAAGTTCGTGATTCGTATATGGTTTACCCAATCTAGACTTTTTCTTAAACCTGATATTCAACAATTTACCATCATAGTCATACTGTTCTGTAGACTATAATGCTGTACCTTAGTAATATGGCAAAGTAAACCCCCCACATATCATGCTTTAGTAATGCTGTAGTAACTTAACAGTGCAGAATTGCCACTTTCTGCTTCCCTGCTATGCCCGACAGGAGGCTACACACAATACAATAATAGGCCTTATGGATATTTCTTAGTGTGTCATTGATTTTACTCTGTGTGAGCAAACTAGTGAGAGAATGCGCTTGTGCAGTACATTGTGATGAAGAAATGTCAGGCTTAAACTTCCAAAGCCTCCTTTACTCAACCCAGTCAGTTCAAAGTGAAATTGAGATTTAAAATTAAATAGAGATTGGTATGCTGACAGACAGATACATGGATGAATGGCTTACTGCACATGCACTGCAATCAAATTAGAGTGAAAATTGCTCAGTTTTGATTGAACTGCAATTGGAGCCTATTATATTTAAACACATTTGTTTCACGGCTGGTTTTCTTTTTGGACTCGAGTCAGAGAGTGCTCCGGTTACCAATAAAGAACTCTGCATTCCCTGTTTAAAGAAACGTATGAACTAAACTGATTACCATCAGCAACTCAGTATACAGGCTTTCAGTGGAGCTCCTCCATATCTTTTACACTTGTGGCTCTTCAAAGATTAATACAGACCACTGTAAAGCGTTGTTACTCTTCACAAGAAACACATTCGTGTTAGCCCCTTAAAGACAGCGTTATTTGTTTGACATACTCAGCAATACAAGTACACTTAAGGGCTTGAGAAAGACTAGATGAATGTCATTTTATAAAGCCGACAGTACTATGAGAGCCTTTAAGATTTCATGTTTTCTCCTCTGAGTTAAATAATAATCAGTACAGTGATTATCTTAATAATTGACATTGTTAAGCTATGTCAATATGGTATTCTATACAGTATTCAATATAGTATTCTAGCCCTTGATTACAGCTAATGCACAATGGTTTTACATGGTTAGAGATGCTTCCCTATTGAGGGTGCAGGAATAAATGTATACCATGTGATGCATTTAGCTTCATTCTGAAGGCTGAACATTATCATGCTGGAAGTAGCCATTAGAAGAGGGGAAATTGTGGCCATGAAGGGATGCACGCGGTCAGCAACAATTCTCAGGATAGCTGTGAAATTCAAACAATTCATTGGTATTAACTGGCCCAAAGTGTGCAAGAAAACATTTCTCACACCATTACACCACCTCCACCAGCCTGGACTGTTGGCACAAGGCAAAATTCTGACCGAACCATCTGTGGGCTTTAGCAGAAATCGCTTTGCCCACTGCAGCCTCAGCTTTCTGTTCTGGGCTGACAGAAGTGGAATCTGACTGTCTTCTGCTGTTGTAGCCCATCCACCTCAAGGTTCAACGTGTTGTGCATTCTGAGATGCTTTTCTGCTTACCACTGTACAAAATGGTTATATGAGTTACAGTAGCCTTTCTGTTAGCTCCAACAATCATGCCATGCCATGGTCAAAATAACTGAGACCACATTTTTTCCCCTTTTTTAAGGTTGATGTGAACATTACCTGAAGCTGCTGACCTGTATCTGCATGATTTTATACACTGCACTACTGTTGCATGACTAGCTGATTAGATAATTGCATGAATGAGTAGGCGTACAGGTGTTCCTAATAAACTGCTCAGTGAGTGTATCATGTAAACCTGTTGGTTATGTGATCTTACAAAAAAATGAATTCAAAACGGGCTTGGTTTCAATAGATCAATTGTATGGACTGGACTGGGGAGTGGGTGGTACATTTTGAAGCTTTGACAATGTTTACAAACTCCATCAAGCTCTTATTTAAAAAAAAAGGGAGGACAATTCGTTTTTCTACGATGTGGGCTCTTTAACCTAGACTTATTAACATAACTGTAATGAATCACGGATAATATTACTCCCTAAGGAAGTGATAAATGCATCTGATGATGAGGACCAGATGTGTTGGTTAAGAGGCTGTTAGGAAAGGTCATATTGTGAAGGTCATTATATTTCCTTTAGTGCATCCTCTGTCCATCCGGCTGTGGTTGAGTGTCCTCTTGGCCTCCTCAAGGTCACAGTGCCAGACCCCCACTGCTTACACAGCTGGCCAAGATCTTACCTCTGCCCCTCCCATTAGACGCCCTTACACTGTGTGTCCATCCCACTGAGAGTCCAGAGCTGTGTGTGTTTTTGCGCAAGTGTGTGTGGGAGTGTGAAGAAGAATGAAAGCGACTCTTGAGGACTATTGATGGGCGGCATATCACTGTTGATTATTCTCTCTTTTCTCTTGCTCTCTATTTATCTGTCCTCCCTCCCCCCAAGGTGCTGTTGTCATTTTCGCAGCAATTGTTTAAAGAGACCATGTAGAACATACATTTGAATCTTTATTAATCTGAAGAACTAAATTGTTTATTTGCATAAAAATGACTAATTGAGCTTTCCAAACTCCTGCCACAAATGCTTTCTTTTGTTGTAGCTGTTGTAAAAGCTTTATAGGACATTGAATACAGCATTAGTAAGTACAACAACATAAATACAGTGTAGTTTACCTTAGCTGTGAGTATGGTCTCCCACCAGGTTTAGTCTAAAACTTTTTCTGCTTTGATAACTCCAACCTCTAGATGATTAGGAAAGCATGTGTCTGAATTACACTTTGCCCAGTAATGCATTTTTACCATTTCTGACAGGAACTCAAACTGACTCACACTTATAAT